GGCGTAGAGCTGTTGAGGCATGGACCGGTGATATACAAGTGAAGATTGGGGGACGATTGGACCGTGTCCATTGGACTTACAGCGACATCGTGTTTCATGGCGAGTGGTCTGTCGCCATGGCAATGGCATTTGATGACACCCCATAATACGCTTATGGCGCGTTTCCACTACAGCGCGGAGCACGGTTTAAGAGGGCTGTGACGTCAGCGGCCCGTCTTTGGTTGCGTTTCCACTTGGCCTAGTACCGGCCGGCGGGTCCTAATTCACAGTTTTTCTGGCCTCATAAAATCGTGGGCCTAGGGCCAGAGACAACGAGGCTGAGTCGGGCTGAGTATGCTAAACTAGAGAGAGCATCGCTGGCAAGGGGGCTACAACTACAACAAGATGGACATATTTGACCGTGATTTAATTGTAATACACGTTTCAAAATGATGCCGAAGTAACAACATACTGATACCGGTTAGTAAAAACCATGAATTAATGCTTTGTCAAGTCTGCAGACAGACGGCAGGCGAAAAACCTTTTAAAATGCGTGTTTTCTAAATAGAGATTGGCTAAGCTAACGCAGTATATGCTCCGACCGTCCACACTCACAACAACGGCCTATACAGACATAAATAAAGCAGCGACTGTATTCGCCATGACACAGGCAGTCTGTGGTTTGTACTTGTTTAACTTTTGTCTAGTTTCTGAACATATATGAGGAGCTGTGAGCTCTGAGTGCTAACAGCTAACGGCTGTGTTGTTTTTCTGGGGTTCTCATTGAAGATGACGTCACGGCTCCGCCTACACTGCGTTACTATAGATACTACCCCAGTTCCTAAACTGTAATGGAAATGCGCCATAAAGTGAGCCAGTCCTAACGAGGCCTAGCCATACCGAGCGAGGCCGAGCGAGGCCGTGTAGTGGAAACGCGCCATTAGATGCGTTGATGGCTGCATCGTTACCAAACCTGTGAAGTTTTGGGCCGTTTGGAACATTGTGTGCGTGAGAGAGAGAGAGAGAGAGAGAGAGAGAGAGAGAGAGAGAGAGAGAGAGAGAGAGAGAGAGAGAGAGAGAGAGAGAGAGAGAGAGAGGAGTTGGAGTGATGACATCATCGTGTTCCATTACACAGGTGTTTATAGTTGAGCTAACGAGCTCTGTAGAGATCAAAGGTTTGCATTGTTCTGAATGAGAGATAAACCTCTTACATGTGAACGTTTTGTGGAAGAACTATAACAGATATCTGTGAAATTTCAAAACGTGAAGCATGTCAAGGAAGTTGAGTATCTGAAGTGTAATATTTGTGTACTTTCGGGTTAATAATGTGGCCTTTTTGGCAGTTTAACTAAAGGTGTGCGGCTGCTGCTGTGAGGAAATATCAGCCTGAAATTACAATGGGTTTTAATGGAGACATGTTGAACGTTTTTTGTCACTTCATGCCCTCAAGAGGCATTTTGTTTAATTATTTTTGCTTAATTATTTGTCATTTTTCAAGCTACGAGATGTTTTCCTACGTTTGTCATGAAAAGTTATGTCTCAGGAATGTAGGGTTTGGGAATTATGGCAGTTTTAAAAAAAAATATGAAGGCACATTTCAAGATTTCCTACCCTCTATAGCTGTGACATCACGCACTCTAGTTAATGTTAAAATCTGAAGAAAGCCTCTTTACCAAGGTCTGAACAATGTTTAATATCTTTAAAAGTAAGAATCAGATTTAAAAGTGGTGTTACACGAATAATGTCAGAAAGATGTGTAACATTTTAAAGTTGGAATGAGGTTTCTGAGTGAAAGTATGAATGAGCAGTTGAAGTCGCATGAAGATTGTTCAAGTCTGAAGATTTTCTCCATTGACTTCAATGGTTAAAAATGTGATGAATTATGGGATGTATCTCTGGAATTATGAAAGTTATGAATGATAAAAGTAATAGCCATCAATTCCCGACCGAGCTGAACGTTTTGATGTTTGAACGGAGTTTCTGCGATGTTGAATGCAAGAGGAGAAGAGGTGCAAAATTCCGGCGGAATAATAATAATTTTGTCCGTAGAATGACATATAGTGGGAATGCTGTATCAGCATTCCCACTAAACTATAGGGCTATCACTATGGGCAGTGGCGCTATAAATAAGACAAGATAAGATACAATGGACCTTTATTAATCCCTGTGGGGAAATTCAGTAGTTTAGCAACTGGGTGAGATTGACAAACAGGACAGCACAGATTCACACAAGATTAAAGATTAATACACTTAAAGATCAAATTAAAATGATATACTAAGTAACTGTTAAAATAAGAAATAAATTAAATGAACATATATACATATTTGAGTCACATATTAAATATATTTACATGTATGTTTGCCGGTAAAAAGTTATTGTGAAAACAGTGTGAATTTTATGTCCAGTAATTGTGTCACATTGTTGACCCCTTGTTGTGCACAAAGGACTGTCCCAGGCGCTTGGTGCTGTGCCGAAGAGGGATGAGTCTGTGTCTGAACGTGCTCTTCATCTTCACTAGCTCTGTATGGAGGGATGAGTCTGTGTCTGAACGTGCTCCTCATCTTCACTAGCTCTGTATGGAGGGATGAGTCTGTGTCTGAACGTGCTCCTCATCTTCACTAGCTCTGTATGGAGGGGGTGGGAGGGGTTCTCTAGATGCAGTCCAGCTTCCTCCTCATCCTCCCCTCTGCCACCTCCTCCAGATTGTTTAACTCCAACTAACAGCTTGTTCAGCCTGTCAGCATCCCTTGTGTTGGTGTTTCCACCCCAGCACACCATGGCAACGAATAGTATATTGACGATACAACCAGCAAAACACCCCAAAAAAGGCCTGGCTGGGTGATTAATTCTATGCCTGACTTTTTTAGTCCGGCACAGACTGGGCTGAGTCACAGGTAATGTTCTCTCTGATTTCTCGAGGTCACTTCTTATCTTCCACTATTGTTGACACATGGCAGGACGTCAATGGTGTTAGGGTGAGCAGGTTCACACAATTTGGCCCAAAGAGTCTTACCTGTAAATTGAATAAAAGTTACCGCAGGCGTTTCGGAAGTTAATGCAAACTGTGTGAGAAATCAAATCTTTTTTAAGACGTAACATGTTTCAACAAAATGAATCAGAACTGATTTGAGTGTGAGTGGGAGGATTCAATCATATAGCCAAAAGCACTAAAAGTAGCAAAGTAGCTCTCAATGTAAACCGAATTAAACATACATAAAAATGAAGACAGTTTTTTACAAAAGATGATAATGGAACTGTGGCAAATCCCCCTTCCTGATGAGAATTTACTCAAATTCAAAACAGGAAGTAGGAAGTGCCCTAACCTGTAGGTAATGTTTTTCAATAGCCACATTAGGGGCTTGCTTCTGTATTGGGCATTTGTCTGTTTGCTAGTTGATTCCCCAGTTTAATCCAGACATAACAATCTCAACACATTTTGGATAAAATGCCATGTAATTTAATAAGGCATTCATGCTCTCCAGAGGATGAATCTTTACTTTACTTCTAGCGCCACTTAATATAAAATAAGATTGTTACAGCAGCAAAAAGACACCAGTACTACATAAGAATAGAGAAAGTAAAACTAAGATAACAATATAATATGCAATAAAGTATAAACTTAACAAGAGCATATAAAGACAACATTGAGGATTGATTTTCTGGAAATGAACAAAGGACTTCATTCAAATATCTAAAATAACTTGTCTGACAAGTTATGTTTTGTGTTTTGTTTTTACTTCCTCCATCAACTTGGATGACTTTCAGAAAAAACATCAGGAAGTAAAGGAGCCAAATGAGTATGTGACCAAGCTTTCACTGGGTGTATAAATATAGGCTGCAGAGTATTTATATCGAGTAGCTTGAAAGGGGGAGGACATCTTTAAGGCGTTGCATTACACATGTTTCTCTCGTGACGCTGTGGGATTTTCTCAAAGGTCAAAGTCCAGGGGAAGTTATGCTTTCTCTTCTGGATCAAAGGCAACCGGTCCATTATGATTTATGGAAATAAATGAGTAGGGAAATTCCTATTGGCAGAGTCAGCATATTTAGTGACAGTAGTGACACAAGAAGGACTAAAAATAACAACTATAATAATAAACTAAAGAGCTAGAAACTGATATTTATAATATGATGTTCAATTTGTGTTTTGAATAGACGGTATTGAGAATCAGTCTTTCACTTCAAGAAATACTATTTCTGTTACCTTGAATTAAGTGAAAAAAACGTTTCTTATGACTCCACGGTGAACAAAGAGTTTATATAGTATATCCTATTTGGCCTGTGAACCATGCACAGTCTAACACCATGTAATAAACTGAATGCAAGAATCTGTGTTTATTGATGTATTTGCAACAAATACAACTCTTCCATAAGCTTGTAATCATATTATATCTAAATACACTAGTTATGATTACATAGGATAACATGTAAGTTCTTGATATACACAAATTATGGCAGTAATGTACCAATAATGGTCCCAATAATACTGTAGTCTGGTGCTAATGAAAACAGGAGTGTAAAAATAGAACAAATGAAGATTGATCTAAAAAGGTTATAAATAATATTTTAAAATATGTATTTCTTTGCCGTAGAGATATGCTCATTTGCTGTTCCTGCAATTATTATTTTAATCTTTATTGTTTTTTTATTTGCACGGTAAATAATAATAATAACAGATATATAATAATAATAACATACAGCCATTTAAAAACATAATATGCAGCCCAACATGCTCAGCAGATATGGCAGACCCTGTGTGTAAAGTATCATTTACATAAAGGATGATTGTTGTTTTTTTCAGAGACAACCAACCCGGTGCGGGGGGGGGGGTGCTCACGTTCCTCTCTTTCTCGGAGGCAGTGAGTGTTTCTCAATGTTAAAGAAGGATGCTCCAGAGCCACTATTTCAAGGATGCTACGTCATCGAGTCCCGCCGAAGGACTGTTCCAATGTCCAGGCTCCTTGGAATTCTACCGAGCCCTACCAAGGAAGCGTCCTCGACATTGAGAAACACCCAGTGATTCAGCTGGAGGAAATACTCTGATTGTCCATTCAAACCTGAGCAGCCCTCATACGCAAATATAGTGTGTGTATATATACTGGCTGCAATGGAGCGGCCGGGCACAGTCGCACCTCTCCGGGTTCAACATGACATCATCTGTCAGTCTACAAACGGTAATATGAAAATGAACCAAAGCGCACGAGACAAGATTTGCTGTCATCCTGAAAATTGTGAGCTGAAGTGTCCACATTGTTTTTAATATTTTGTATCTCAATGTTTATAGATCTCCATCGGCTTGCTGCTGATCTTCAATACCTTCATTTCTCCCTCTGCTGATGGGGATTTGAAACCCAAGTTGAAGTGCATGTCTGTGAACGACGTGAACCAGAAAGCTGAAAGGTTTCTGGTTCACAACCGGAGCAACCTGAGATTCCCTGAAAAATCTCTGCAGAACCGCTCCTTGTCCCCGTGGGTCTACAGGTAAGTGGATCATTAGTGACAACATGCAGCTACGGCTACCGCAGGAGGACAAAAGCGCTTACCGTTATCATGACTGAGCAAGAATCACTGTCTCTCAAAAAGAGGTGTTCTTCATTTTAACATTACTGCAGTGTAACATATTCAGATGTTTACTTAATTAAAAGTATAGCAATACATAAATGTTGCAAGTAAATGTCCTGTATTCAATATATCAATGGAGCGTACTTAAGAAAATACAAATACTTATACTAATAAAAGTACTCAGAATGGCCCATTTCCAAATCATACATAGCCTACGGTACTTCATAATTGTAATAGTAAATATAAACAATTAAATAATAGTGAAAATGGTGTTTAACTTTATTAAACAAGCATTATTAATTAACTATGATTATAAAGTTCAAACAATAATAGATTAAAACCTTAATACAAATTGTAAACCCGATTTCAGATAATTGGGAAGAAACTTGAGAACTATAGTTCCAAACAGCAAAAATAAATATTGACTGAGAAACAAATCTCAAAAGTTATTCAAAATTGCAAAAATTAATCCTGAATACAAATCCCCAAATTTCCTCTACTAATTATAATAGAATGCCTCTTTTATAGTAAGGAATTGTGTATGAATGGAGGGATAAATGAGTTAATATCAGCCCTGCGGATGTTAGGTTACCATTAGGCAAGCATAAACTATTTCTGGAATAGTAAGAAAATCTGCCCTGTTTTTTTTTATTACAGCTGGGTTCAGAATGCTAATATACAACAGTTAAGAAAGCTGCCATTCTCTACCTCTCTTAAGGCCCTGACACACCAAGCAGTCACCAGAGAACTCGCCGACGCCGACTGTTGCGTCGCCCTGTTCTCCTGCGTCTTGGCCATGCCGAGCACGTACGAACTGCGCATGCGTGAGTGGCAATAACTCTCCTTACCAGCAGGCGGCGGTAGTGTGTATTCGTCATTCAAAAGAGGCAACAACCGGAAGACAGAGAAGAAGAACAGACTGCGTGATATAAACAAACAACAAATAGCGTGTGCGTTCCATTTTCACTCTCGTCCATCGAAAACATGTTTCGTGCGGTACTGGAGCTATCAGCCATTGGAGTGTTGCTTGTGGAAGACCGCTTAAATCGTTTGTTTACGTCCCTCACTTCCATTTCGCTTCTCATGCACTGATTCGCTAGCTGAACAGCCAATCAGAGTGATTTCTTTGGCCGACTGCCTGTGGCCGACGCATGGCCGATTCAACATGTTGAATCGGCCATGCGTCAGCCATGAAAGGCCAAATAAGGCGTGTCACGGCCGACGGTGCGGGACACACCAAATTGAGTTTGGGCGACAGGGCACGCTTCGTCGTCCGACTAACGAAAACGGCCGATTTTGGCCTGGTGTGTCAGGGCCTTTAAGCCCTAAAGAAAGGGCGTCGTCCAACCTGATTGGACGAGAGGGGAAATGCATCCAGGTGCTCTCTGCAGTGGCGGCGCCAGGGTATGGCTGGGGTAGGCTACAGCCATACCAAGAAATGGCTTAGCCCCACCTTAGCCCCTCCATGAAAAATGATGTTAAAGTAAGCAAAATAAAGTCCGCCAACTCGCGCAGAGTAAATTGCACAGACAGCAGTTAGTAAGATTGATTTCAGTAGCCACTTGTCTGGAAATACCGAAGACTAGAAACGGTTTTGAAAACTTTTGTCACGTAGTGATCGTCTTCTCAATAAAACATCTTTGATAATGTCTTCTGGCCAATCAGAATCACGATAACGGCGTGGTGTTGTTGCAGGAAGTCCCGACAGAGAATACTTTTGCTGTAGTACATCTCTATATACATCGATACAACACGTAATGAAATAAGACCCCACGGTTTGATGATTGATAGGTGTGTGGGCTGTCTTTCATTTTGACACACAGGACAATGGGGGCTATCCACCCTTATCCACAATGTAAAGTAATGCACACAGCCTCTTCCCTCTTCTCTCCTGTGAGGAGCAGCAGGTTCAGCTTTCAGAACAAAGTAACAAAAAACAAAAATGGCATTCATTTTTTTAAATGTGTAGTAATAGATTTTTTTTTTTTTCTTCTCAAGAGAGTACCAGAATGTGTATTTTATGTTAGTATTTCAAAAAATCTCTTTTTCTAGTCTTTACTACAAGACAAATGTGCCTTTTTATTTCATACAGTTCAATTTGGATTGAGACAGGGAAATAATCTAAACCTCACGCGTGGCGTTTCACTGTCAAGGGGGGCGATATAGCGTGTACAGCAGGGCTTCTCAAACTCCGGACCAAGGTCCGGATCCGGACCGAACTGCAAATCAATCCGGACCGAACCCTGTGTCCCATTATAAAAAAAAAAAAAAATATTCAGATTCTGATAAATATATGTGCATCATTGTGTACGCGCGTCTTGTGTTCAAGGCATTGGCTACAGACAAATAGTGCCATTTCTCCCACTAGTTCAAGCCATCATACTGTATGTATGTATTGAATGTGTGTGTGTATATTACAGGGGCGCCGTTTGCCGACAGGCAAGGCAGGCAAGTGCTTGGACAAGAAGGGGGCCCCCAAAGAAAGTAGATTAAGAAGGTCCACAGCAACGACAACATGAAACACCCTTTAATTTACTGCAACGACATGTCGGGAAACCCCCTCAATGGGGCCCCATGCATAGAGCGTCGTAAGAACCAGTTTCGTTGCTCCGCTCCGGGGGGGGGGGGTGACTTTACTGGCATTGATCCGGACCAGTGACCTTGTATAAAGTTCACAAGTGGACCTTTAATTAAAAAGTTTGAGTACCCCTGGTGTACAGTATGTAATTACATTGCAAATACTGACTTGAGCCCCACCACTGTATGGGTTAGCCCTACCATAGATTACCCAACACAAATACTCTGGAGCCGCCACTGGCTCTCGGTTCTTAATTAGGGGCCAACAGGTGATCTGGATAACCTCCAATCAACTCAGGGCAATTGTGTCATTCTTTTAAAAAATAATGTTTTTCTTCACCGTGTTCTTGCTAGTTTTGCTCAAGTAGAACATCTGAGTGTTTACTGCCCAAATACTATTAACTCTTTCAGTGTACATTTGGAAATGGGATTATAGTTTCTGATAAATTGTGAATCTGTCCTATGAACAGACTTTTCTGGGCTAGGGTCAGTATCATCACATAGACAGTAAAGAACAATTTACAAACAGAAATCATTCTGATTATTCATGTCTGTCAATCTGATTGTCTCCCATCAGTGTAACCCGAGACGACAACAGGTTTCCTCATGAGATCCCCTTTGCCAAGTGCCTTTATAAAGGTTGCTTCATCAACCAGCGTGAAGACATGAGCTACAACTCTGTTCCTGTGCGTGTTAAGCTGACCATCATGAGGAAGACTCCATGCAAACGACACCCAGACAGATACAGGGTCAAACGGGATTCTATCATTGTCCCTGTAGCCTGCACTTGTGCTGTGCCCAGCTACACTAAATGATCAAAGAAACTATCCTGATCACATGATGCAGAATCTTTTTTAAAGTTAAAGTGAAAGCAGAACTTGTGGGTTCAGTTCCTCAAACTAATAGGAATTACACCAGACATGTGTAAAGACAGGGATGGTAGGTTATTAGCGGTGTAACTCATTTGTAAATATAAAGAGTCATTAAGAAAGGATCGGACCTCCAATATCTAATGCTGTACCAGATACTGGTACAATATATCAATGTTAGAGCAGCATGTTACTGTTTTACATGCTTGAGATAGGGCAGATTTCCACGTATATGTTTGCTATTTAAGTCCAGTGATTCCCAACCTGGGGGTCCAGTCCTTCCAAATAGTCTCTATATACGATTTTTTGTTATCGTGTGTACAGATCACATCAGGTTCATGCTGCCAGGAAAAGTGAAGCCTTACTAAAACCTGCATTCTTCCAAATGGCCAGCAGGGGGCGACTCCACTGGTGGCAAAGATAAGTCTAATATAAGTCTGTGAGACTACTTCTCACTTGATTTATTACCCTAATGACTTTATGGTCTCGTTTCAAGTCTTCTTCAGTGCAGCAGGATGTTTGTTTACTAAATGATGGCCCATTTAGAGGAATAAAGGGATACGTAAATAAAACCATGTGAGAAGTTTAGAGCAGAGTTTTTGTATAACTCATAGACATCTGAAATGTGCATGTATGTAAATGACAAGCACCTTTAAAGCTCAGTTAATTGTTCAATACATTTAACTTGTTTATTTAAATAATCAGCTGTGACTATTGATAATCTCATGTGCTATTAAAAAGAGAATACACGTCTCTCTCAAAATGCCAAGCTATAAAAAGGACAGTATTAGACACATGTTAAAGTTACTTTAATTTTTCAACCACACTTTGAATATGTGTTTTGTGTTTCATACGAAGACTCGTTCAGCTAAATGAGTTCAGGAATACTTTTTTTATTTAATTTCTTTTCTAAAGCATACTTTTTTATTTATAGAGTCATTTTATTGCGATCAAATGTAATGAAGATTTGATAACTATGACAGTGTCAGTGAATTAAGTTACTTGATTTTAAAACTGTGAATGTTGGCCTCTGCTGGATGAAGGGTGTAGACACCTCTGCAGGTTACAGATGTGAACAGTTCATTCACTACTTTAGATGTATTGAGAGATTGCCTTGCACTCTTTTATTTTTTATAAAGTATTTGTACTTTCGACTGGCACTTTTATACTATTTTCTATTTTTCATCTAAAATAACTATTAGTTATCGATGGCCAAGCTGCAATATATATATTTATATATATATATATATATTTATATATATATATATATATATATATATATACTATGTTCAAATTCTACTACTGGCTGCTTATTTGTATTGCACTACCCAAGAACTGTTATAAAACACTAATAATAAAAACATAATATGAACTATAGTATTTATTGTTGTGTTTGTTTACATTCTGGCGAGACAACTTAACATGCCATCTTTTTTTTCCTATGATGTATGGACATGTATTTGTGATGGACCGAATGGATTTAAAAATATGTGTTTAATGTCATTGTGTTCAGATTTCAAATGTGATGATAAGGAATGTTTTTGAGCAAAATGCTCTGTCCAAAACAACGGGAGAAAATAATGTTCCAAAACTGTTTCAAAATGTTATTTGAAAAAGCATTTTTTTTATGATGTGATTTCAAAATGTAGGGGAATAACATGATCCGGATTTTGGATCCAGGACTATTACTTTTACAAAAGTATTAGCATGAAAATATATTTTTTTTTAAATACTTTTAAAAATACTAAGTAGATGACTGATTATTTAGAATTATGCTTATTTCAGAATAATATAAATTATATTATTGGATTATAATGAATGATCAATAAGTTTATACACCTAGTCACCTTACTTTATTGTTGAAGCTAATAATAAGAATATTTGTATTTATTCTTTTACTGTATAGTTTATGTTGGTTAGCTTATAGATTTTCTTTTACCAATAATAATGTATCACGAGTTATTAGCCGACTTTATGTTGTATTTATCAGTAAGTAACAATTTTCTCACCCATTTATTTCGCACACACGAAGAACAGAAAATGAAACACTGAGGTCTTAAATGTGTCATATTATTCAGTAGCAGTTCACAGAAGGTCAACATGGTGTCTCTGCATGACAACAAGGAGTACAAACTGAAAAAGTAAAACAGACCCTTGTACTTCCCTTAGGGCTTCTTCCCTGATACAATTGTCACATTTCACCAGAGTATTATAAACTGTACACAGAGTATGCTGAATTCTAGGAAATCTGCATTCATTCATTACATACACATAATAAATATCATGGTTGTTGAAGTGATTGGACCTCAGGTCACGTTGCAGCAGAAGATACAGTATGTAGTCAACACTAGAGACCATTTTGCATTATACAGTTTTATTTTGAAAAAGCGGATGGCTTTCTGGATGACTAAATGACTACCTTTCTTTCTTTATCTTACCAATAAAAAAATAACCTTCATAAATATATATCTCCCTCTTTACCAATATTTAAAAGTGCTTTACAGTAGGTACAACAGGACAGATTAAGTCTTCAACCCACCAAAGACTGAACCTAATCCTAGACAATAAGACTAATGATAAAAGTAAGAAAAACCAAACTCCTAACTAAATGAAAACCAGCTAAATTATAAAAACTTCATATTAATATTGCAAAAGACATTTATATATATTACTAATGCATAAGCACTTGTATATTAATTCATACATTTCAACCATTTAGTAATAATAAAGTAAATATCAGTTGCATTAAAATGCACCACATTAGTTTGAAAATCCAGTTGCATAAAAAACTGAATTTCCGACTCATGTAATTGTATTTCTCATAGGAACATGTCTAAGGTGTAGTGCGATGCTATATTTGCACGGTGCTATTCAAACAGGCGACAGAAAGGAAAACTAGAAATGTTGAAAGACACATTCCTGTTTTTCTTGTGAACTACACATGCCCTTCCACTCAGGCCTGGTTTGTAAACGTCCCCCTTCAGGGACCAGTTTGTCGAGTGCTTTCACATACCTATTTCAAAAATATAGCAACAAACATTATTTCCTTCTAGACTTCTATTGTACTTGTACTAGTCTGTACTTCATTTTCCCGCGCATTGCCAGACTGAATAAACTAAAGCGCGGAAATGTGGTGGTGCAATATGTTGTAACAATGTCCCAAACTAAAGCAATACAATTGATCTTTATAGAAAAGGTTGAGTCTTTAACACCTCTCAGAAAGAGGTGGGGTTATTTCAGAACAAAGGCAAGGTTTCTGGGGCTCCAGTTTTTATTGTTTTCTCAAAGGCCTCAAACCTTTGAGTGTCTCATAGTTCCTTCACTTTTGTGCAATTTCCCTTCTTCTTCTTTAATCTGACCAGGAAATATTTGGCAAAAAAGTTCAACTAGTGCCTTCTATAGCCAGCTAAGGGAGATTTTTCCAGTGATAAATGAGTGGAGCTGAGAGAGAACTTTAGAAAAAAAGATCCTGGAGTGGGCCTTCCCCCCCGAATCTCTACAACATCTGGCTCCACCCCTGCTCCAGAAACTCTTCTACAATCTGAAGCTTCTGCAGCCAAAATAATAGCTCCAACTAAACAGATAAGGAAACTGTCAGATAACCTTACAGGAACATTTTTCCGCCTGCATTTTATCCACTGCTAAGCAACATTGCAGGATATTCCTAAATGCTGTCACATGTCCCAACATGCCTTGTGCTGGGGAGCATTTCTCAGGGTTTATACAAAGACAACAGATGGCACAGAGCCTTGATGTGGCTCTACCAATGTTACAGTATGTATTCAAGGCTGTAACGTGTTTTGGTTGACAACCAAACGCCTAACAAACTTTATTTGTTCAAGCAAACTACCTACTACATATCAGATTACTATGCTTTTAGCAAACATAAGTCTATTTCCTTCATCTTCATTCAGCAGCCCTGCAATTGAGGGCGGAGAGGTATGTCGTCCTTCATGACTTGCCTTAGTGCCACTTTCTCTTTCTTTCTCTTAAATCATGGGATTGATTTAAAAAATGTAAATGTATACATGTTGTGTACATGTTTAACCCTTAGTGACTGGACCCTACTCTTCCATAAGTGGGTCAAAAAGGACCCGTATTAGAATAATATGTGTTTTTATGCCATTTTTGTCATTTTGGTTAAGAAAAATCACTTGTATAATATTTAGTATTATATTTTGGTTCACACTAGAAATATTTTATATTTAATTTTTCACTATTTATAATTTTAGACATTTATTTTTACATTTTGAAAAAAAAACGAAATTCCATTTTTGACCCACTTATGGAAGCTTGGGGTAGTAATACAAAAACTACAATTTCTTAAAATGTATAAAATGTAAATAAAATATTTGAATGGCATGATATCCAAAACATGTTTTTTGAGGAATAGCTGGAATATGAAATGATAAAAAATGTAATTACAAAGATACTTCAAGAATACCACCTCACCGGGTCAAAAAATACCCACTTATGAGCTTGGGGTAGTAATACGAAAACTACAATTTCTTAAAATGTAAATTAAAATTTTGAATGGCATGATATCCAAAACATGTTTTTTGAGGAATAGCTGGAATATTAAATGATAAAAAAATGTAATTACAAAGATACTCTAAGAAAACCACCTCACCGGGTCAAAAAAGACCCACTTATGCATCTAAGGGTTAACCCATTTAGATGTTTTTCCTCCAGTATTTTTTTATACTGGACATAGAATGGCAATCATTACCCAGCATCTGCCGTATTTTAGATTCAGAATTGTTTGTTGCTGCTTAAAGAAAAATGTCATGTCTTTTCTTTCAACATTTCAGCAGTATGGACCTGGTTTTTTAAAGTCTTTCCAATCCCTCACACGATTAGTGTCATGATGTGTGGTGGTGGCTATCAGCCTGGAGTAAGCACAGCGACTGTACCGCACAGGAAACACTTGGAAATATCCCCAGTTTGGGGGTTCCGCTGGGGGGATGCCCAAGTACTGCATACACAACCCCAAATACACGTCTTCAATGTAAATAGCTTTGACATGTCTGGATGCCAAAATAAGCTTTTTAGGGAGGTCAATAGACAAAACGTAGCCCAGACCCAAAGCGTAACGTGGGTATACTGACGAAGAGTAAAGCTCCACAGGAACGAACCACTTGGATCGCGGATCTCTTAGAACTGCTGCTCCCATCGCCACTAGTCCGGTCATGTAGTTTGTCTTTGGAGCACTTGACAACATATGAACGAGTTTTGGCACATTCAGGAACATGTCAGAATCAATCTTCATGGCATATGATGTGATGGTGCAGTGGGAGTCCAGCCACTCCAGCATCACCATGGTCTTGATGGTCAGGTTCTTGTAGCAGTCCAGGAAGTCGCTCTGCAGCAGGTCGTGGTGCTCTCGGCTCTCCTGCAGCAGCTGATCCTGGAGCTGCTGAACTCCCTCTCCGGTTTGCAGCCCCAGCAGGAAGAACAGCTTCACCACTTTGCCCAGTACCAGACTTTCACCTCCCCAAGTGCTGCGGATGATGTCCCGATGCGCCCTGTTGTGGAGCGCCACGGGAACCATCAGAACCAGGAAGGGCTTCTGCTGCTCACATGTCTTTGGCTCGTTCATGATGAAGCTGTACTTATATGGGTATTCCACTAAGTACAGGCCCGGAGATTTATAAGGAACTGGTGATGGTGGTATAGTTTTTGCCAACTGCTGAGTCACCACTGAAGCTTTTGTATTCGTGGCAGTCCTGTTGGTCATGTTGGTTGCTGTGATATTTTCAGTTTGAAGAAGGACAGTTGAGCCTGACTGAGTTTGGAATCCAGTCAGTTCAGATGGTAGTGGGCCCACGTTTTGTCTGTGATCTTTAAATGGAATCCACCATTTTGTTGGGATCCAGTCAGTCGTCATTTCTTTTATGTCTGTGCAGTAGAAAAACAAAACTGCTGTGAGCACCAGGATGAAGAAGAAGCAGTGGCGCCGTGAAAAACACCTTCTCCTGCTTTCTGGCACTTTCACAACATCCACCATAACCTGGCTGAGAGCAGAGACATGAGACATGGAGCAGGGAAATTAAGTTAATTTACTCAAAGACAGTTACCATTTACTTTATTAAAAATATAGTCTAAATCCACTGGTAAATTATAATATATTGTTACTCCTACACACATGCAAAGTCATTCGTATGAACCGGTATTGATTTACATATATATGTGTGTGTGTGTGCGTGTGTGTGTGTCTGTGTGTGTGTGTGTGTGTGTGTGTGTGTGTGTGTGTGTGTGTGTGTGTGTGTGTGTGTGTGTGTGTGTGTGTGTGTGTGTGTGAGGTCAAAGGTACAGACAGCACCACCTAAAGATTATATGAATTGTCACTCATCATTATATTACTTTTTAAAAGTTAAATGTATTTTTTTTTGTAGGTTATTCTTATTATTAAGTTAATTTAACATGCTGCGTTGTGCTGACATATAAACTTGCGTTATGCTTCAGTCATATAATGTGCTATAGCAACATGCTATTTTTTAAAACAAGTCTATAATCCTTTAAGGTGCAAGTAACTGGCTGGTTTTCGAATATTAGCATTCTATGTCCCCTTTAATGCTAACACTTTTTCTTTCACTTTTGAATGCAGGACTTTTAATTAAAAAAAAGCTGTATGTCTGTGGTATTCCCACTATTACTTAAGTCAAATCTCTTGGCACTGGCAGACAATGTATTATCAGTGTTTTAAATGTAACAATATATACGATTTTGTACATGATAAAATGCTAGTCATTCATTGCAAAGCAGCTACAACACAAGTTATTTCTTAAAGAACGTTTTACAGATGAAACGCCCTACCTTTATATATTTCCATTAATACATTTTACTCTGACATTTATCTGAACATAAAGAGTGCCTTCCTTCCTCTTTTCTGCCTCCTCTTCTTGGTAGAACCACTTCGTGAATAAAGAAAAAACAGTTTGAAAAGCTGACATACCTCGGTTCTCTGTCAGCAAAGCCATTCTCCAGCATGATGATACCCCCGCCGTCCTTTTTTAGATTAGTAGTAGAAGAAACATCACGCTGAAAAATTCATGGCTTGACTTTTTGAGGCATTTACTTACAGGTAAGTGTAACTCACACCTGTTACGACAAACAGGAGCGGTAAAGGACATACAAATCAGATCTCCAAACATTAAGTCCGGATCCTGCCATCTCTGTAACTGAGGGAGACACTCCAGTTGTCTAGCCAGCCCCTGGGTCTATCATGTAACCATGGCACTGCGGCCTCTTTTACCTGCAGGTATAGCCACACCTTTGTTTGCTCCACCCATTGGGTCCGCTAGTGTTGTTTTCCCTCTAAGCTTGTAATGCCTGCAACCACAAGAGGCTTTAGGAACACCTCCTCTCAACTGAAACCAAGGGTTCCGTACTTACCTGCCATATAGTAATCGTTGTATTAGGAACAACATGCAGGAAGAATTCAAATAACATCTTTCAGGAAGACCCCTTCATAATATAAGATAACTTATGGAGAGGACTGGGTTTTGTCTCACAGTCTACATTAATGCTACTTTCTTGTTCTCCAATTGGTATCTTGTAACAATAGGCTGTATTCGAGTGTGTGTGTGTGTGTGTGTGTGTGTGTGTGTGTGTGTGTGTGTGTGTGTGTGTGTGTGTGTGTGTGTGTGTGTGTGTGTGTGTGTGTGTGTGTGTGTGTGTGTGTGTGCCTCAGGATACGAAAGGATCTCTGCAATTGGTATCTTGTAACAATAGGCTGTAATAGATTTGGACATAGACTGTGTGTGTGTGTGTGTGTGTGTGTGTGTGTGTGTGTGTGTGTGTGTGTGTGTGTGTGTGTGTGTGTGTGTGTGTGTGTGTGTGTGTGTGCCTAAGGATACGAAAGGATCTCTGCAATTGGTATCTTGTAACAATAGGCTGTAATAGATTTGGACATAGACTGTGTGTGTGTGTGTGTGTGTGTGTGTGTGTGTGTGTGTGTGTGTGTGTGTGTGTGTGTGTGTGTGTGTGTGTGTGTGTGTGTGTGTGTGTGTGCCTAAGGATACGAAAGGATCTCTGCAATTGGTATCTTGTAACAATAGGCTGTAATAGATTTGGACATAGACTGTGTGTGTGTATGTGTATGTGTGTGTGTGTGTGTGTGTGTGTGTGTGTGTGTGTGTGTGTGTGTGTGTGTGTGTGTGTGTGTGTGTGTGTGTGTGTGTGTGTGTGTGTGTGTGTGTGTGTGTGTGTGTGTGTGTGTGTGTGTGTGTGTGTGCACTACATTTATAAACTGAACTTTGGTTATTTTTGGGGGGTTGTAAAGTTGTGGTTTGTCTAAATAAATAGAGGTAAGGAAGTTATATAAATACTAGTATTTACCTTTTACCATGCTGCATAAATCCAACAGCTAAAGTTACTTCAACATATCGCCCAAGTGAGGTGGTATTCTATCGGGATGTTAAGAGCATTCCATGGAATATAACAAAAAGTGTATCTCGAGCCAGTTTCTCAAACTTACCTACCCCACCTTTAAAGTATCTCTTTTGAATATCAAACACAGCAAATGAAAAAAAAGGCCAAAACTGAAGGCTGAGTTTTCAAGCGACCTTGTTCAGAAAGACCTTTTCTTTTGACGCCATGGGGGCTTTGTAAAGGTGTCAAGACTTCTACTGTTCAAACAATGCAAGGACTTGAGTGGGGGTGGGGCGTTTGCCTGCTCTGAGTAACACCTGTGGAAAGCACAGCACAAAACATACTTCAGTTTATAATCTCATGTGAATAGTTTTACACCTTGAAGTGGCAATGATACTTTTTTTACATTGATCAAGACATACATTTGTTGTACAAAAATGAAAGCATTCAAAGTATTCTACCAATGAATGTGCACTTGGGTGGATTTGAGAATTGATTGAATTCTTTGTCTTCAAATGAATTGCATTTGCTGGTACAGTGCTACATCCCCACTTCTTCAGAATTGCTTCATGCTAATGAGTAAGGGGACTTCATTTCGGACAGAAAGCCCATTGTTGATCTGACTGCATCTTTGAAAAACCATTATCCCTAATGGACGGGAAAGGGGGTAAAAAGCCAACAGGTAAATCCAATTATATTTTCACAAATGTGCCTATTAGATATCTTTATGATCTTTTAATCATCTGGTCACTCACACCCCACTTATCTATTCAATTGGGAGTCTTGTTTCAGTGTGCTCAATAATGTGATACAGAGGCTCACAATACAGAAGTTCTCGTATTGGGGTGCCAACAATCACTGGATTTTCTTGAATCACTGGATAAAAAGTAGGCGAGTCAAAAGGTAAGTTTTTTCATCAACCCAATAGCCAACATCTCCCCCGTCAACACATCATGAACAAGAACACTCTCCTTTTGTGTTGATAAAACGTTTGTGACTCAGTTAGAGATTAACTTGCAGGTGCACTCGCTCTCACAATCATGCCAGCTGACGTGGATGATTCCTTCAAACCAGCACAGTCTTGATCAATCAATGATTAATCCAGTTAAAGAGTGACAGAGTTCGATGTTTACACAAGAAACATACTTCTCGTTCCTCATTCTTGGAAGGGAATATTGTTTAACATCTCGTGACAGTTGCAAAGTGAAACCTAACATGTGTTGGTTGTCTATGCAAATATGTGCATGCAAATATTGTCATGTCTTTGAATACAACCAGTGGTGCAAGAAGAACTCAAATATTTTACTGGACGAAACAGTGACTTAAAAGCCTAAGCATTGCATTAAGTGTTTTACCTTTGTTAAATTACAGTATAGTGCTTTAGTGCCAGCATTAAACTACATTTAAAGAATCATTCAAATAGTTAAATACTCGTTATTTGATTGAATAATTTGCAGCTGGTAAAGGTGGAGCTCATTTAATAATAACTTTATTGTATTCTATATAAATGTATCAGAATGTATTGCTGTTTATATTTGGTATTAATAATCTATACCTGTGTGGCAGCGTGGGGCAAATTACTACATTTTATTTAATGGTTAAAGAAGCGATAAGGCAGAGACACCCACTGGACCCACTGAAACACCACCTGGGGACTTGCACTTCAGGAAACAGGCATACCGTAGATGATATACCAACACAAAAAGAATAAACCAAGGCACACAGATTCTTTTTATTGAATTCAACCAAAAAAAGAATCCAGAAATAAATCATTGCAGAAAGAGTAACAACATTTTAATTAGTGACCACAATATATTATAATTAATATTCCTTTCATTAGTTGTTAGGGCACGTGCACTATATCAGGGTGTTTACATATCACTCCAACAGGTGCGCATGACAACAAAAGGCTTCCAACACGAATATGCTCTGCCAATTTGATGGATCAGAAACTGTTTTAAAAAGCAGTTAATGAGTATGTTTTCAAAGAGGCTAAGCTGTACATGTTATCAATTAAACTGCGTACCTATATCACCCACCGTGACAGAGTCCAAGCACACAGCCTATTGAGATCAAAGGCCATTAAAGTCCCTTGTCAGGCGCTGATGAGGAAATAGGTGTGTGGAGGGTTTATTAACTGAAACCAGAACACACTGCTCCTATTCTGTCTGTGTTATCAAATAATACAAGTGTTGATGAAAATGAAGGTAGCTCAATATTGTGCTTGAGTAAATTAACTTATTTACTATCTACCACCATGCAAATCTGATGTGTTCATATCCAAGGATTATTTTTTATTTGTAATCCAACAAGATTTAAACAGAGATATAAACTGTAAGAAACTAAATCCGACCATACTGATTTCAGATACTAAACAAACACATCATGGCAGAGATGATGAACAGCATGTACGTCAGCTCTTGTTTGGTTAAACCGATTGATGAACAGTGAAGAGTGGAGCCCAGTGGTGTGTAAACAATGTTTTCTGTGAGTAACAGAAAGAGTGTTCAAGTTCAAGAAACCATGGATAAAAGCGTTTTTAACTTAATGTAAGTTAAAAACACAATTATTTTATAAGCTGAGTAGAAGTAAACATGAGGTTTCCTCAGAGTAATGTATGGATTTAAACAAATGTCAACGAAACTGATTTCAAAATAATTCAAAGGATTACCAGTTGCAGAGTAATAAAAAACTAAAGTTCAATTTGAATTGGACCCTTTTTTTTCTGGTTATCTTGGTAAATCACATTCCCACTGTTGACATTTCGCAAATGTATTTTATTTGGATCATTTAAAGTCATGTATTTCTGAAATATTCGTATAATCATTCTTATGGGAAAGGATAATTTAATTAATTTCAAGGTTGGAAATAGAGAGTCCTATGTTGGATTTATTAATAGTTCAGATTGGATTTTAAAATAAAATAAATACTCTATTATATACTGTAGTGGGGACGGGCCGGGCGCCACGAGGGGGCAAAAGGGGGCATTGCCCCCTCAGTTGTCTTATTTGCCCCCTCCCTTTGAGCATCATTCATCCATCGAAAAGTAAAATAAAAGTCACAATTATTAAATAACTTTAAATAATGATTTTCCCCAACACACGTTACTATGTCTAGATCAGATATGTGGGCAGGCAGTCAAGCAACGTGTAAAAAAGCCTCAACCCCAAGTGAGCTTGTAGTCTGTGTGCTTAGCTGTAAACACAGTCGGATGGGTGACCAAAACGTCCCGTTTTCCGGGCAAAGTCCCCTTTGGTGGCCGGTACCCGGTTGAAACTCCCGAAAATGTTCCAGTTTTTGAATGTGCGTTAAAAAACATAGAGCAAGGTGAAATAAAATGTTACATGTCAGTAAAAACAGAGTAACAGTGTCGTGCCTGTTTGTAGCGTTAGCGTATTTCTTCTACTACTTCTTCTTCTACCTATCTTCTTCTTCTACCTCTACTTCTTCTCCTTCTTCTTCTTCTTCTACTTCTACTTCTTCTTCTTCTTCTTCATCTACTTCTTCTTCTTCTACCTACTTCTTCTTCTTCTACCTCTACTTCTTCTCCTTCTTCTTCTTCTACTTCTACTTCTTCTCCTTCTTCTTCTTCTTCTACTTCTACTTCTTCTTCTTCTTCATCTACTTCTTCTTCTTCTACCTCTACTTCTTCTCCTTCTTCTTGTTCTACTTCTAATTCAATGTACCTTCCCGTAAAATATTGGACAAAAGAAAGTCGGCTAGTAGTGTCAACTAAATCCATAGTATTACAACAAAAGTGCTTTAAACGAGGTAAATTACGAATGTATGTTCTCAATCGCCAAGTACGGGATTTAATATTAAATTAGTTTAGATTAGATTTATTGTCCCCAGGGGGAAATTCATTTTCACAGCTCTGTAAAAACAATATGAAATCGAGAAAAAATAAGACAGACAACTACAGATAGGACCACACATGATGGTTACTTGTTATTATTTAGAGCTGCCTGTATGGATCAGGATTTTGCCAAAGCGAGCCCTTTTACTATAATAATAATATGTTATGTTACGTATTATATAAACCGTATTCAGGGTCGGCCCTAGACTTTTGGGGGCCCTAAGCGAGCTTTGGCCCTAGCGCGTTCTCACTACACACAACCAACTTTTGTCTTATGATGTTAGCATAAGCACACATATTGTATAAATAAGCATGTAAACATTATGGACCGAACCTCCTCTAGGGGGGTCCAGGGGCATGCTCCCCCGGGAAGATTTTTTTTTAATTTTGAAGTTAAAAGCATCATTCTGGTGCACTTTGAGAGCAAAATTAAGAGATCTATGGATACATCTCTCAACACCCATATATGAAACAGAAATGTAAACTGATTTTTCTTTATGGATATTTTACAAATCACTCCCCTTTCAAACTGTATTCTTGTTTTGTCATACAGTATTTCATAACTGTTTTTCATTTATTCTCTCTGGCTGTCCATCTCATAATGTTCACATAGAAATTAGCTGTCAATAGGAATATCATTCAGAAGAATTATAATTTCATGCAAAAATCTGTCACAAAAAGAGGTTGCACATTTAAATTCAGGTGTTGTTATGGCAACGTCAGTGGCCAAACAGCCACATTTATTTACTGCTGCAAATACGTTAAAACATGCTGTCGACACGTAAAGCAGTGGCAACTATGCCACCATTTCAGCTGACTTTTTCTCACAACTACTGTCACATAACATCCATATATTTCAGTGCTAGGTTGATGCTTAGCTAAGCTAACTATGAAACACTTTAACTGACAGGACTCAGGATCAACTGTGTACTGTAAGGTAGCTTCTAGCTTCATGTCGAACAGTAAGTCAACTTTTCCAGAGAACTTTCTTTGAAATCACCAGGTAACGCTAAAAAACATTACATTTAGATTGTATGACAAAGTGTTTATTTAATATATCTGGCTAGCTATAGCTACTTGCTAACGGTTTAGCTTACCCCCGCGATTCAAAATAACGTCAACGTAGCTGTAATTTATGCTTTGCTTACATGTTCGCATAACTTGAAAGTTTACTGACATTTACATACCTTGTTTACCTGGCTCAAGTGGTGGCTCTGGTGTTGTTGTGTGAGCCACCACTTGAGAATTGTCGTCTTTTTTAAGAAAAAATGTTCTTATGTCCATCTTCAAAAACTCTGAGTCCGACTGACAGTTTAAACATTGTCAATTTGTCACAGGATAGGTACCTGTCTGCCAATAAGACAGATGTTTATTTCCATTCAACTCTCTGGTTGGTCTGGTGTCTTGCCTCTGTTGCATTCACTGCACACGGGAAATTACAATCCTGCCGTCCTCTCTAGTGTCATGATGAGGTTCAGGTAAAGCACGGTTAATGTATTATATTTTTGACTCAATAATATAATACATGATTTTGAGAGTAGGCAATCTAGGCATATTAACACAATTAATTAAACATACTTATCACGGCGACGGTGTACTGAGATTATTTTTATTTTTATTTTTTTGCTAGGGGGCCCTTATGGCGCATTTCCATTGCAGCGCGTAGCTCGCTTTAAGCGTGCCGTGTCGTGCCGTCCCCTTTTTTGGTTGTGCTTCCACTAGGCCTCGTTCCGGCGCGGCACGGCGCGGGGCCACTTTTTCCCCTCTTTTCTGGCCCTAGAAAATTGTGGTTCTATCGGGGCCAACAAACAGGGCTGAGTCGGGCTGAGTATGCTAAACTAGAGAGAGGAGCGCTGGCAAGAGGGCTAGAACTACAACAAGATGGACATATTTGACCGTGATTTAATTGTAATACACGTTTCAAAATGATGCCGAAGTAACAACATACTGATACCGGTTAGTAAAAACCATGAATTAATGCTTTGTCAAGTCTGCAGACAGACGGCAGGCGAAAAACCTTTTAAAATTCGTGTTTTTCTAGATGGAGATTGGCTAAGCTAACGCAGTATATGCCCCGACCGTCCACACTCACAACAACGGCCTATACAGACATAAATAAAGCAGCGACTGTATTCACCATGACACAGGCAGTCTGTGGTGTGTACTTGTTTAACTTGTGTCGAGTTTCTGAACATATATAAGGAGCTGTGAGCTCTGAGTGCTCACAGCTAACGGCTGTGTTGTGTTTCTGGATTTCTCATTGAAGATGACGTCACGGCTCCGCCTACACTGCGTTACTATAGTAACTACCCCAGTTCCTAAACTGTAATGGAAGCGCAGCATGAAGTGAGTCGGCCCTGTTAAGGCCCAACGCGGCCAAGCCGTACCGAGCCGTACCGAGTGTGGCCGAGGCCGACCGTGTAGTGGAAATGCGCCATTAGTGGCTGCGGGGCCCTAAACGGCCACTTATGTTGTGAGAAGGAAAAAAACTTGGTGTGTCAATTAATTACATTGCCAGTATTTTTCGTTGTTGTGAAAAAAAAATCGCCCCCTCGGATTTTTGAACAGCCCCCTCAGTCATTTCATCCTGGAGCCGGGCCTGAGTGGGGAGTATTTTATTTCTTATTTTCAGATTATTGCTCATTTTTAAGGTCCTTGCCCTTCTCTTTGTATACGCCTAGTGATTAATAGATGAATGTTGATGTATTTGCAAATGTAAATGTGATGTAAATTGCAGTGTTAAACCACAATATATTTGTATATATAGACGGCTGGTGATTGCTCATGGCTAATATTTGACCAACTATCATACTTTTATTAAACACCACAGAGGACGTTATTATCTTTACATGTTACATGTTATTGAGCAATGACGTAAAGCAAAGGAGCTACAGGTGGCAGGAGCAGGTTCTAGGGCTAAAACTATGCTAATGCATAGACACCAATCGTAAGTGTGCAAACATATGCTATAGTCTATGCACTTTATCCATCCTTATAGCCTTATGCTACAGGTTTATATTTGGAGTTGCTCAACATACACTCACTGGCCACTCTATTACACTTTTTCAACTGCTCGTTAACTCAAATATCTTAGATAGATAGATAAATAGATACTTTATTGATCCAACATTTGGAAATTCAGGAGCGGCAGTGTGTTTAAGCATTAAAAATATGTTTTGAAAAATTGAGTAGTGGAATATTATGGAAGCCTGTTTGCGCCACAGGAAAAAAAACAAAAACCTGTAAGTCAATATATTGACTTAGCTATCTCAATATATTGACTTACTTTCTCAATATATTGACTTAGCTATCTCAATATATTGACTTACTAACTCAATATATTGAGTTATATATATATTTTTTTTATTGAAACAATTATGTCAAATACAGAATAAGGCACATAGACATCAATGTTCATCATATAAGCGGTACAACTTCATATTAAGGTACACAAATTCACCATCAACTAGTTGTTAATTAACATGCATATTAGCAGAATATTGGCTCTTTATTAGCCATTATAAAACACTTATTAATGCCTTATTCTACATGACCATATTCTACAAGTAATCTGTGTATGTTACACTTGCATGTATGAGATCATTAAGTGCCTTGTAACTTCTTCTTTTATAGTTTCACTCCGTTTGAATGTCAGTGGACTGCAAATAAGTCAATAAAGGAGCATGGCTGCTCATTCCCTGGCTCTCAAAAGAGTTTGACTGGCTGTTTAATCTGTGTTCACACTGAGACAGTACAACACATAGAGAGAACAGTACACCTATTGTACATACAAGCAGGTCACACAGTATGATCACAAATACATAAACTCTGTTAAAAATCAGTTTTATTAAAAAGTACAGGCTGCATATATGTTCTCAGCCTTGGAGAAACTTGACATGTTTTGGTACATGTGTCTGAACCTCTCTTTAGTGGTTCATTCATAAAACAGATATTTCAACGTGAGCCTACTTTGTTCATGTACTGTTGAGGTTAATTTCAGTAGTTGCGTGCTATAATGTATTTACAAAGTGTGAAGAGGAGGCAACTTTAGAATAGGGAACCTGTTCAGGTCAATTAGAGTCAAACTACTAGCTTATTGGTTATGAACAAGACTTCACTTTAAAATAGGGAACATGTTCTTAGATAGAAATACCTAATTAGAGTCAAACTACTAGCTTATTGGTTATGAACAAGACTTCCCTTTAAAATAGGGAACATATTATTAGATAGAAATACCTAATTAGAGTCAAACTACTAGCTTATTGGTTATGAACAAGACTTAACTTTATAATAGGGAACATATTCTTAGATAGAAATACCAAATTTTGAGTTATTTAGACATATTGAGGAGAGCATATTAAGACCAAAGCTCATGTACAACAACTTCCTTACTTGCAATAAATAAGGACTAATTAGAGGGTTATTGAGGAAAAATTCTCTAACTAATGGCTTATTACTTGTAGAATATAGTCATGTAGAATAAGGCATTAATAAGTGTTTTATAATGACTAATAAAGAGCCAATATTCTGCTAATATGCATGTTAATTAACAACTAGTTGATGGTTAATTTGTGTACCTTAATTAATATAAAGTTGTACCGCTTATATGATGAACATTGATGTCTATGTGCCTTATTCTGTATTTGACATAATTGTTTCAATAAAAAAAAATATATATAACTCAATATATTGAGATAGCTAAGTCAATATATTGAGATAGTAAGTCAATATACTGGCTTACAGGATTTTTTTTTTTTTCCTTTGGCGCAAACAGGCTTCCATAGAATATAGTATAGACATGATACAATAAAAATAAAAAAAAATGGAGAAAAAATAAGATAAAATAAGATGTGAAAATAAGACATAGTGTATGTTTAACATAAAGAAAAAGGTCAAACATTTCTTCCATTTATTTTAATTTTTTTAAGGACGCAACGGGTAGCGTCATGACGTACAGACGTACCCGGCGTAACGCGTCATATCTTCCAACACAACCGCCGCTTCCTTCCTGGCCGGCCCAGGCAGGCGCCTCAGGCCCCGCTCCTTACTGAACCGCTATCCGCTAATTATCATCATTCCCCGGCAAACACACAGCCTCCTCGGCCCGGTTTGTGGAGCTGCGGCCGGAATGAGTGAACGAAACGGCAGGCATCTTTAAAGAAGCCTGGGACTCGCTGTTCCTCGGTAAGTAAGCTTATTTATTTAAGTTTGTGAGTTAAAGGGCTCTTTAAGAGTTGTTTTGTCTTCAGAATGAATCACTGTGTCTGTTATTTGGTCTACTGTCTCCATGGAGAATTCAAAATTAAACTGTATTCTGTTCTTTCATGTAATAAAAGTAACTGTTAGCTTAGTATGTTACTAGTGGTTAGCTGTATACTTATATGATTTCTGATTTATGATGGGTGCTTTGTTCCTGTCCAGACAACATGGACTGTCTGTTTCCTGTTGGTTAATCTGTGTCCATACATACTGACACATTCACTGACATGCTTCTCAACTGTAATCTAATTAAAGCATCAGCAGTGACTGACATCAGCCTCATGTTCTCCTCTTTCATACCAGCAGCAACAATAAGCAGCATCAGTGGTGGATTAAGTACATTTACTCAACTGCTGTACTTAGGTAAAAATGTGTGGTACTTGTGTTTACTTGAGCTTTTCACTCTTATCGTTATACTTCTACTTCACTACATCTGAGAGGGAAATATTGTACCTTTTACTACACTGCATTTGTCTGACAGGGATGAAGTGTGATACAATTCTCCTATTATTTTAATAAAGTATTTAAAAGCTTTTTTGCTTCAGCCTCCCCCTGGATCAGCTGGAGATTGCATCATAACAAAGCTGAAACCCTAATTTATAATACATTCTATTTTCAAAGATGATCTCATAGAATTTCTATATACAAAAGAGTTACAATTAAAACAACATTACATATCTTCAGAAGAAAAATGCAACATACACCTAACGGTAGCAGTTGTATTAATCCAAAAACATAATATATGACATTAACATTTGAACATATTTGCGCAGTGACTGCTTTTACTTTTTATAATGTAGGTTTGAATGCAGGACTTCCACCACGTGTAGTGAAAGACATCAACCCATTTTCCTCATCTGTCACACAAACACCATCACTCGCAACAATAAGCAGTATGCATGAATCTGTGTCCCCACAGCGTTGGGGCTGGAGGAAGGTTGAGACTGAGGCGTAGCGGACGTGGTGATGGTGTTAGACTCAGTTGAAGTCTTCATGGATCAGGTTGAGGGTGAAAGTGTTGGGAGCAGCAGGGACCTGATGGAGCCAAACGTCCGAGCAGATCCAACCAAAACCACAGGGACGCCCACACCTCCCGCCAAGAAGAGCAATGATGCCAAGAAAGAGAAGGTGTCCCAAAATGGACTTCCGACCGAGACGAACAGCAGCCAGGCACAGAGGAGGCCATCATCATCATCAAAAGGCGGGGCTACTCCAAGACCGCTGCTCCGCCGCCCCCTCAGCCTGGAGATGACACCCCAGCGGCTGAGAGGGTCTCAGGAGCAGATGGCAGACAGGCGGATGGTGCAGCCCCCTTGGCGCAGTGGTCCGGCCGCCCCCTCGCCCCCCACACGCAGCCTGACCAGCCCGAGCCTGGGCGCAGGATGGATGCGGCGCAGCGAGAGCACCTGCTCCGTCAACTACTCCCTCGGTCTACGAGCCAGCAGGGGGCAAATGCGGCCTGCCACCTCCCTGCCACACATACCTAAGGGGGTGGCCGGGAGGTCACTGCCCACATCCTCCAGGCCCTGTCTGCTGGTGGCCCTCAGGCCTCTCAACCTGGAGCAGGAGAAGCAGACTTTCTTCCAGTCCGACTACAAGTACGAGCCTCAGTTTGAGTACGCCCAGCCGGAGCCGAGGAGCGTGTTGGACAAGTACCGAGAGGGATCCGGCCTCTTCCTGGAACAGGTACAGTACTGCACATCCGCACATATCACCTGTGAGTTCACATGATGATGGTGATGATGATTTTTATGTTCCACTGCAGGCGGTTGGGATCATGGAGTGTGTCCTGAGGAAGTTTGGCTGCTATGAGAACTTCGAGGTGGTGACAGGCGGCAGCATCCTCCCTAAAAGTCAAGTCTGGGCTGCTGTTCGTAAATATCTGCAGAAAGAAGGCTGCGTGGGAGAGGTGAGTGACATGCAGCACAGAGACTTAAACAACAGCAGGTATTTTGACGTCCAGCAGGAAAAAGCAAAGGTTTTGGTTTTATTCAAGTGACCCACATTTAGGCCCAAAATGCCAAAATGCCAATATGCGCAAACAAATGCATTAAGTCAGAGCTGCCTTGCTCATGGACACTTCAGACACCCCAGCAGACGAGCTACCCGTCCAAACTCTGTATTTTTCGATCCGGGCAGGGACTTAAACTTGTGACAATAATGTTCTTCTTCTTAATTGAATTGTTATTATTCACACCTGTGGTTTGATATATGTCAAAATGTGTGCAGAGTGTAGTTTGATAAAGGAAATCCAGTTAAGAAACAATTTCTCAACATCTTGGATCTCATTTAACAAAACAAAAAAAACACAGTAGTAAAAATGAAAGTATAAAGCTTGCAGTGTTATCATCAATTGGCACAAGCTTTAGACTTTACTGTGAGAACTTTATTAAAGAAAGGTGTGTTACTACTAGTGATGTCTTTAACACATAATACATTGTTGGTGGTTGGTGTGTTTATTCAATGTTCCAGTGCAAGATAACTTTCTCTCTGGGCTCCAAATGTTGTCTTCAAGAGTGAGTTTATTGTCTTCACCGTGTTTACCCTCCCCCTGACCTGCCCTGCTAAAATCACCCCCTTATCGTCCTGCAGTGAGATTTGTTTGATGTTTTACCACCTGAACCTGAGCTTGGCACAAGTACATCACATATAACCACTAGCACACAAATTCAGCCTCTGGATATAACACGACTCAAAGAAAAGATTAAATGAACGTGTAGATAAATCTGAAAAAATATGAGGAAAAACAATGTAGGCATAACTTGACTAATAAACAGCAGAACATTTGACAATTTAAATAATTCTTAATTTGTTAGTTAGTTGCAACCATATACTTATTTTGCTGAGAAGTATTGAATTAGTCGTTTTCAGGTACTTCAAGATGTTAAGGTAATCCACTACATCTCAGTGGGAAATAATCATATTTTTTCCCCCATAACAACTATTATTCCTCACATTATTTAATACTTTTCAGATTAAGATTTGACATAAAAAATTATGAAGAAATGGTGTAAAATACAAAAAAATGTCAAAGATTAAACCAATGTTTCCGTCTACTATGTCACGGAAGTAAACAAAGGAGTCCGATTGGTGCATTTCAGGCAGGTGTGTGGGGGACAAAATTCCTCATATAACACATTACAGGAAAGGGAAAAACCCCAAAAAGCATAATAGGGCCGCTAACAAACTAGGTCCGGCCTTGAGCAGCTACAGTTAACCTTTCTATTTGCCTAAGGTGGAAACTGTACATTTAGTTCTGATGGAACACTCTGACTGAACAAAGTTTATCTTGGCAAAAATCCAGCCAGGATTTGGAGGAGGAATAAGATATCATTAATAAAGATGTGTGTGCGTGTGTGCAGGTGGTTGTGCGTCTGTCCGACGAGCTGCTCTCTCAGGCGGTGATGGTGGTGGAGAGCTGTCGCCCCACCCTGACCATCAACCTGGCCGGAGCTCGGCAGTACTGGCTGGAGGGGATGCTGAGACATGAGATCGGTACGCTGCCGCTCAAACACAGAGAATCATATCATTAACAAAGTAGTCGGATATTTAATTAATCATCAGACACAACAGGAATCTCTCAGTGAGTGTATTTGCAGAAGGTTTGAAGTTCAGAGTTGATTCATTCAGGTTTAAAAAAAGTTTAACAGTTTTTAATCTTTGTTCTCATTGACAAAATAGGGTTACACAACGACATCCTTTAATGCTGTACAGGAAAAACATTTAGTGTAACTAGCAGCTACAGAAACAGTGGTGTATTCACTGGGTGGAGAAGAAAGAGGAAAACAATGGAACATGTTGACATTTGATCAGTAGGCATCACTAAATTCACCTTAAACTGACCTGATACAAATAACATTAGCATGCTGATATCTGACCTGTTTGGAGAAAAAGAGGGGCACAGATGACATTTGGATAAAGGTTTTTTACCAGCGGGTTGAAAAGATGTCTCACAAAAGCAACACAACCAACCTCATATAATGAAATAGTATCCCAATAACATTTCCGTAAACCTATCAGTTAGGTTAGCATCAGATACTACCTTCTCATAACAAGGCCACAGAAGAAACAAAAAACAGAACTAAACCAATTATAATAGAAGGAAAATTAACTTTATGAATACTACTTGCTAAAAACATGGTAGAAATAGATAAATAACCTGAAAAATGTAAAGAAACTAAGAAAAACGGCATAAAATAATGGATACAAAAATAAAATAAGTCAGAAAAAATAGAAAGTGAAAAAAAGGGAAATAAAATAACCAAAGATGCCATGTTGATTGACTCATGGCCCTTTATGCTCTCGTCAGGCACACACTACCTGCGTGGGGTGAACAACAACCTACAGCCGTGGTGCACCACTGAAGGCAGGAAGCAGTTCGGCCTCAAACCGGCCAATCCCACAGAGGAGGGCCTGGCCAGCCTGCACAGCGTGTTGCTACGGAAACAGCCCTACCTGTGGCGTGCCGCCCTGCTGTACTACACCGTGTACCACGCCGCCAGCATGAGCTTCAGCCGCCTCTTCAGCCACATCGCCCGCTTCGTACAGGACCCCGACGTCCGCTGGGAGTACTGCCTGAGAGCCAAGAGGGGGCAGACGGACACCTCGGAGCCAGGTCAGCATACGCACGCACGCACGCACGCACGCATGCACGCACGCACGCGCGCACACACACACACACACACACACACACACACACACACACACACACACTCCTTGCATTGTTTGAACAGTAGAAGTCTTGACACCTTTACAAAGCCCCCATGGCGTCAAAAGAAAAGGTCTTTCTGAACAAGGTCGCTTGAAAACTCAGCCTTCAGTTTTGGCCTTTTTTTTCATTTGCTGTGTTTGATATTCAAAAGAGATACTTTAAAGGTGGGGTAGGTAAGTTTGAGAAACTGGCTCGAGATACACTTTTTGTTATATTCCATGGAATGCTCTTAACATCCCGATAGAATACCACCTCACTTGGGCGATATGTTGAAGTAACTTTAGCTGTTGGATTTATGCAGCATGGTAAAAGGTAAATACTAGTATTTATATAACTTCCTTACCTCTATTTATTTAGAGACACACACACACACACACACACACACACATACACATACACATACACATACACATACACACACACATACACATACACACATACACATACACATACACATACACATACACATACACATACACATACACATACACATCCAAATCTAATACAGCCTATTGTTACAAGATACCAATTGGAGAACAAGAAAGTAGCATTAATGTAGACTGAGAGACAAAACCCAGTCCTCTCCATAAGTTATCTTATATTATGAAGGGGTCTTCCTGAAAGATGATACTTTTATTTGAATTCTTCCTGCATATTGTGTGTCTGTTTTTCTCAGGTTGCTTCAGTAAAGATCAGGTTTACCTGGATGGGATCCTTCGTATCCTTAGGCATCGAAGGAACATTGACTTCAAGATGTTGACTTCTTTAGGCAAGGTCAGTGTCGTCAGCTTCAAATAATAAGAGCCTTTGTTCCTAATACAACGATTACTATATGGCAGGTAAGTAAGGAACCCTTATCTCTAAACCGTCTTTAAAAAAACTATTTCAACTTCTGGGAATAATTAAGTAGATAAACAACTTTAAACCAGGTCCTAAAATATCAAAAGATAACAATACATAAAATATATCCATGTCTTATCGGTGTTTGGATTGATTTGAAAAATGCAGACTCCTGTACAGATTTAAAGAAGGGTGATGTGCAGCTTCTGACTCCTGCAGGACGTTTTCAGTATAAAATGTAATGCTATAAACTGAGAGGTCGCAATCAATTATTTTCTGTTACAGCTTCATACTGTAAGTCTGTAGCATTGTCCTGGAAAAAAACAGCCCTTTTTTCAGCTCTGTGAGGATTTGTGATGCATTATCCAAAGAAAACAAATCTGAAAAGTAACTAAAGCTTTCAAAATGTACTTCTGACAGTGATGTAGTAGATAGTTGAATTAAATTAAATTCTCAAATACCTTTTTAAATATGTACAGAGTTTGAGAAAATGTATCCCCACCACTGTCCTGGAGGTGTTCCCCTCCACTGATGCACCTTCTTCTTCTTCCTCTCTTCAGGTGTCTTTCGAAGACGTGGAGAGGCTGCGTCCCCTGGCTGTCCTCCCACGGACCAGAATCCCTCACTTCATGCGGGACCAGGAGCGCTACCTGCAACACCTGGATCACATCGTCTCCGTCAACGAACTGGACGATTCAGCGCTTCAACACCTGCTACCCTGAGACCCCCCCCGCACCACCTGAATCAAAGAAGAAGACGTGGAGGTATAGAGACTAGAACACGTGGTGTGTTCGATATCACTAAAACAAATCAGTATTATGCTTTATTTGAGCAAATTTTGTAAAAACTTGAATGTTACGAACAAAAAGGGACAAACACACTAACACCTCTATCTACATTTTGTCCAATTGCATGTGCCCTCCTCGCCTTTACTCCTATTATGAAGTTACCTCAATACTGCAACTCTACGATGTAACCAACATTAAATATGTAGACTCATACATAATCACTGCACTCAGCGCCTGTACAGGACACCACTAACATGTCATGTACAGATTTAAACATAATCACATGCTTATTTATGCAATTATTTAAGTTTTTTACTTTTAAGAGAACACAATGAATGTCTCTGGTCTTAGCTTTATACCTTTTTTATTTTATACAGCATTGCTTTTATGCCTTAGATATTGTGCATTTTTAAAAAGACACCAAGGACGGACATATTATAAAACCCTGGGGATATATTTACTGAGACCATGAATCATTAAGTTGTCAAGTGCCAGTGGACTTGGTGAAGTATTTAAGCTTTCCCAGGGTGCTTTTTAAAAATATCAGTGTTATTAAGAAGAAAATCAGCTCTTACTGTCTAAGCAGTGTCCTTGGTGGTCTTTTCATATCAATAAGCTACTGTGATGTGACCCCGTCCCCGAGCTCCCCCTCTGCAGAAGCCAAACCTTCTCATGCTAAAGTGAAGGATATTTGTTTTTACAGAAATGTAGATGAGAAGATTAATATCAGTCTCATGTAACTGCTAGCCTGGCTCTGTCCGAAATATAAAAACAACAATTGACAGTTGGCCCTACACTGAGCATTGATTGAACAATCATAGCTTAGAAACTCAAATGTATCCATTGAGGCTAGCTCCATAGGGCTCGAAAGAGATAGATATGTTGTTTGCAAAATTGGTCTTACTCAAACCAAAAACAGAAGAACCAGGAGAAAGGAAAAGGTTAAATAGTGTTTCTTTGCTCAAGCGTTAGCATGCCTCCAATCTCCAAAGCCAAGACGCATATCATTAACTTATCATTTTTGTTTATGTAGTTAAAGGCTACACTCATGACCAAAACATCCACTGTGCAGTCCTTTATCACAGTGTTTATGCTCATTTTAGCGGCTCTGTCCCGCTCCTTAATTTAGAGACATTTACTTTTCAGAAGCGGTTCCAGATGTTGCCATTAACACATCAGTTAGAACCTCATGATAGCCTTTTCCTGTGAAGATAAAATCATGATGTTTAGAAATACATTTGTGTGAGAATGAGCGGTCAGAACCTACAGGTTTTCTAACACAAGGACTAGCTCGATCTACTCTAGCTAGTAAATGCTAATTATTGGCTTTAGCATCAGTCTTTTAGCACGATATCATGTGTACATTCAAGTGCATTTAAGAAACTTTACATTATTATATATCTACAATGAGTTAGCTATTCATAACTTTATTTTAATTAATGGAGCTAATGTTAGCGTAATAAGCTAATTACAGCCTGATGTATAATACAAAACTTGTACTTTTCAGAACAAAAGCAAAGAGCTGGTTTTTTTCTGTACTTTTGTATAAAATCATCAATAACTCTGACGTTGAGGAAGGAGGGTTTATCCCAGTCAATTGGCAACCAGAAATATTGCTGCAAATAACACTACATAAAAAATGGAATTTAGAGCTACGCTAGCTGTTTTTATTTATGCTAAGCTAACCAGCTGTTGCTTCATATTTACTTTAACACCAGCCATGTCGATACTAGTGGTATCAATCTTCTCCTCTAGCTCTCTGCAAACTAAGCCAATGAGTGAATTTGCAGTAATGTATAACTTTTCTTTTACATGTAAAAAAAGTGCCAAAGCGGCTATTTAAATTCACTGTCAGGCTTTTAGAGAAGCAGCCATTCATCATGGTTCTTCACTCAGGCATGAGTCACTGGCTGAGGGGAAAGCGGGGGTGTTGTGGGTGTGCCTTCGATGGGTGTAGAGCTCATCTGCTGTAGCTAGCTGTGTGGTTTTAGACTGCTTTTTATTATGCGTTTGACACTTGAAACTTCAGATGTCAGTCAGGGCATTCAGTTTGGGCCAAGCCGTCTTTGAGCTGAAATAAAGCTGGGATGTGGGCTAAACAGCATTAGTAGTTCCAGTTTTTAACTCAAAAATACAACTTGACAAAATGTGAATTCTACTCATGTGATGCATTTGAAATACTTTGGATCCAAAGACCATTGTGTAATTGAACAATTGATTCTGCTGTGTTTACAAATTCAGCCATTGGGTAAGCAGATGTACGTTTTAAATTGGAGCAGGTGGTCGTATGCTGACCTCATCAAATCATTGCCCTGGATTCGCCGAAACGAATGCACCTATTTGTAACGCACGAATGTTGCACAAGTGTTTTATGTTCTGGAAAACATCTTGAAGTTCCAGTTTATTTATTAAAAAGTACACACATTTAATGAGCTCTCTGGTCTTTTTCATAAAGCATCAAAACAATCACTGCTGACAAATTCACCTAGGAAATGTTTCTTGTGTACATAAGACTGGACCCTGTGAGCCCCACAATTGAATACTCTAAATGTGACATTATGCATAATGAGTACTTATATTTTAGTAACACTTATACTTACTAAGCAGGACATTTACCTGTAGCTGTAATATTGCAACTTTTACTTTAAGTAAAAAAATCTGATATCTTCTTTCACTACTGGTAAAATCTCGTCAGTCTGCAGTCGGATAGAAAAAAACGTTTTATACTATTATATATTAAATCATCAGATTATAACTCAAACATTAATGTAATAGCAGGATTGTACTCTCTGGTTGCTGGAGGTCATTTCTGCTCATGTTTTGGTTTTGTAAAAGTAGTGAAAATAGTGGGAAATGCCATCAAGTTTGTCTTGCTCAGACCTCAACATTAATACAAATGCATTACAATTAGGAGAAAAGGTAGTCTAGAACCATCAACTGTTCTTACATGAACTATTACTTGTATGATCAAAGTAGTTTTCTCTCATTGACTTATTGATTGTTGCAGCTACACTTGAATTAACTGTTGGGTAGTTTTATTTAGAACTAAACATCACATTTTTGTAATAAACCTTTCATATGTTCTATTTACAAAAAAAACGTAATTTGTTAAGTCTCTAAAGCTGTCAGACAAATGTAGTTGAGTAAAAAGTACAAATATTTCCCTCTGAATTGCAGTGGAGTAGAGGCAGAACGTGGCATGACAAGTAAATACTCTGGAGTAAATGTACTTTTCCACCACTGCTATCTGGATTGTAGATTCGGCCATTTGAAAAACAGAAAAGGTGGAATTTCACCTCTTTCTGAGTCAATGAAAGTCCAACACACGCATCTTTAAATAAAAATGGTTTATTCTCTTTCAATATAGCTTTTGTTCTATCCGTAGCAGAAAAGAGCCTCCATGCCACTCAGTGCTAAAACTGGATCTCAGGTCACCACAGCATCGTAATGACGGACAAACGTCTTACGGCACAACACTGGCTTGATACTGATCCAACAACAGTCACTTTGCTCATTTTAAAAACGGGTTGGGGGTGTTGGGAGGCAGGAGTAGGAGGAGGGTTGAGGAGGAGGGGGGGGTTTGGATCTGATTTCAGACCTGATTTATCTGTGACTCGGACCAAGCAGCTCAGACCCCCCCCTCCCCCCCTGGACTTTGTTAGGAGAAAGTTTAATCCGTGCGTGTTTTGTGTATGCTGCAAAATTGACATCTTGCTCCAGTATGGCTGTTGATGTGGAGGCAGAGGTTTCTGCCACGAAAAGGTCACAAGTTGAGGTAACGAAGATTCTTCCTGATTGGACGAAAGAGGGACGATAAACAGACTAAATGTCAAACAATGATCATCTGATAGATTTTATAATAAGGAGAATTATAAAAAGTGCCATGCGTTTTACTGAGAGCTGTTTCTCTGAGTTTACTATGATACAAATGGGGTAGACATAACGATAAAAAAGCGTGTCAGTATATACAATTCAGAACAGGACTCAAACACATTAAATAAATATTAAAACCATCATGAAAATATGATTGATATATAATGATATGAGTGTAAAATACATACATGCGTGGATTACCTGCTCTCTGGTTATCATGTTGCATTGGAGCTGCTTATGGCCTTTGTGCCGTCTGTGTTGGCATTTGCCTGTTCCTTCACCACAGGATCTGATGGGGAAACATTTGAATTTTTATTATCATTTACTGTATCTGATTTACTTATCCAGACCTCAGGTAAATGAAGTAAATACAGGTACGTATTTGTCCTGGTGCCCGACCAGTTTTATAAACATGCAGCAATGTCCATAAAAGGACATAAACATACCAGTGGAACCAGACTTGTAAAATGTGATGTGATGCCTAATTTATGTCAAGTTTAAAGGAAGTGTGTAACTATGAGTTTACGAGGCGATTAAGCTCTTTGGAGTATGGAATTCAGTTTGATAAGGAAAATATAATTTACTGTACACGTTTCATGTTCTTTCTTCATAATTTCTTTTGCAAATGTGGATTAGAGCGGGAGAATCCTTGTGGCTGGATGTGATCTGATTGCAGAGGTGAGAGCTAAACAGACTCTTTAATCTGGACTGATATTTAAAAGTGAAACTAAAATGTACCTCAAACACACACAGCGTTTTTAACAATAAGTAGGAGAGGAGAAACTAGATCTGTAATCTATAATTGACTGGTGGCAGTATTTAGAAAACATGGATTCTGTCCGTATGTGTTGGTGTGAGTACTAACAGAAGTATGGGTGCTGCATGGCCTCGGCAGCGGTCAGCCTCTGCTGGTGGTCGTAGCGCAGCAGCTTGTCCAGCAGGTCCAGAGCCTCCGGACTCACCAGGTGCTGGTTCTCCGACTGGATGAACTGCTCCCAACGCTTCCTCGTTTGTCTGCACACAAACATTGATCATGACTAAAATGTCTCTTTTTTTGTTATGTGAATTAAACAGTTGTGGTGACAATCTAATAAGATTAACAATGATGGTGTTTTATTAAAGTGTGACTGTTAAACCTACAATACCAGGACACTGATACGGCTAAATAGAATTCAGCCATTGTTCACTTTATAATTTACACTTGTGCTTTTCCTACTGTCAAAAGGTCAGCTGTTTTGAGTAGTTTACATATACTAAATGCTAAAATCTGATTTATGGAACCAACTGCACATTTCTTAAATACCTCAATTTAAAGGATATAATTACGTTTTCATTATGCAAAAAGGTAAGTTTGTTTTTAAACAGAGCAGATGTCCAAACATGTTACATCAACAGTGGATCAAATGACTAAAGGTAACATGAAAGGGGAAACTGACCATTTTCAGTACTCTAGTCTTATGACGCACAAAAACAAAGCAGCTAAAACAATGTAATACATAACATATTTAAGATAAATATGTTGTATAAAACTGCATCTTTGACCAAATACATTGCCAAAGAAACAACTTGTTCACGTATTGTGTTTTGAATATATTTGATTATGTTTCTGGTAATAAATCCTGATACTCACTGTCCCAGCAGGTCTTTGAAGCGAGTGTCCAGTTCTATGTGATATTTGTGCAGGTAACCAAAGAGCTCATCGGTGCCCAGAACTTTAGCAATGCGGACCAGCTGGAAGAAATAACAAATGTAATCCCTTAATTACATATTTTGGATACATTATCAAGTACAAATGCATATTGGTTCCAATATTTAGTTCTTGATTTTACATTTGAGTGTTCAAATAATAGACTGGTCACCTGGTCGTAGTTGTCCTGGCCGTGGAAAAACGGTTCCTTCAGAAAGATCATGCTGGCCAACATGCAGCCTAGACTCCACATGTCCAAACTATAGTCATACATCTGGAGGGAGGAAATAAGAGAAAATCAGACACAAAGAAACGATTTAAAAGAAGACAAGGACTTGTGTGTTTTGTCCTCATTTGAAGAGTAAATATCTGTAAAAGCACTTGCCTGATAGTCCACTAGCAGCTCAGGGCCTTTGAAATAGCGCGAGGCCACCCTGACGTTGTATTCCTGAGCGGGATGGTAAAATTCTGCCAAACCCCAATCTATAAGACGCAGCTGAGACACAGAGAGGGACAATTAAAACGTTTTACAATGCAGGGTAACATTTCAGCGTCAATCTTTTTTTTTTTTATATCGCAAATTAATTTAACTGTTTATTTTCATTGGAAATGTTACTACTAACATTTTTAGGTTTATTCATTATTTTTTAATGCACATTCTTACTTTAACTTAAGTTTATTTATTATGATTTATTTAATCTCCTTTAAAAATCAAGCTAATGTCACAACACCCAATTTCCCCTGGGATGAATAAAGTATTCTGATACATTTTTGTGTGTGTGTTAGATCGGCCACAGCTGACTTTTGGGGTGTTTAACAAAATGAAGGATATTATGACATTTTTAGGAATGTTAAGATGACTTGGAGCTGGTGGCACCTTGCATGGCAGCCAAAGCCGCTGTATGAATGTGTGTGAATGCTCACTTGAACATGTAAAGCGTCCTGAGGGGTTGTAAAGAATGGTAAAGCGCTCTAAAAATGTCGTAGCCAGTACCTTTCTCATCTGGTGGTCGATCATCACATTGTGGGGCTTCACGTCCCGGTGCATGATCCCCATACTGTGGCAGTAGTCCAGAGCCTTAGAGAGGAGACAGAGACACACAGTCAACACTGCAGCCAGTCTGTAACAGTCCATGCTGCCCTGCTCTCTCTTTATCCTAGTGGGTATCACCGCTCCAGATTTCTCTTCTCAATGATTAAACAAAGTCAGGACTCCTAAAGACTCATAAAGCCAAAAGGAAAATAACTCGGGTTGTTTTCATTATTGATTGCTAACTTGATTGTATTTTGTTCTACTTGATTAATCATTTATTCAATAAAAATGTCAGAAAATAGCAGAATGCCTAAGATTACATGTATGAAACTTCCAAATCCTGTCTTTTTACAATTTTCTCAGCATTAGTCTGCTTACTGTCTATTACTGAAGATAACCCTACAAATGAACGTCCACACTCGCAGGTTTTTGTTTAAAAGTGGTAAACAACGATGAGTATTCCATAAATAAGTCATTATAGAATTTAGATAAATGGAAAGGTAGACAAAATGTGTTTTTACCTTGAGCAGCTCATACATGTAGAAACGGATATCATAGTCAGTCAGCTTCTGGTAAAGCTCCTGCAGAACAACAATGTTTGGAGAAATGATAATAAAAAAAAAACAGTGAGCAGCTCAACTGGTGTCCATACACAATACACTCTTACTAGAGGGTTATTATGCATGTTATTAATAATGATACCAATGGTAGTTCTATACGTATGATGACGGCCAAACTTAAGTACCTTAAAATCTGTGTTATTGATGCACTCAAAGACAAGCGCTGGTGTTCTGGACTGCAAAGAGAGGACAACACAAGGCTTAACTGAGGACAGCAGCAGGTAGGTGGAGATCATTATCACACACTCACACACACGGTTACCAGCATGACTGGATTATCTCCACTGGCGGGCCCACATGCATCAAAGGGATGGATCTAACTCACCACCGGGTCTTTGACCGTGTCCACCAGGCGGATGATGTTGGTTCCTCCACGCAAGTTTTCAAGAATTTTGATTTCACGTTTGATCTTCTTCTTCTTGACGGGCTGCGGAAGAAAACAAGTGGTTCAAAATACAACAATATGATGAAATAAATAAATGTACGTTTCTAAATTGCCCCCTATGTTTATATAAACAGAATTGTGTGAAATAAGTCATTTGTAGGTGTTTTTGTATTCTCACTTGGAATTTACCAACATTTGACCAGCAGAGGTTGCTACAGGGAGACTCTGAGACTTCTTATTGAGTACAAATTGGTAAATCAGCATAACCCACCAGACCAGAGGCCTGTACTACGAAGCCGGATTTTCGCTTAGCCGGCTGACTTCAGGGAAAACTCTGGGTTTCCGGTCCTACGACGCTGGTTCTCTTTTTAGCGGGCTAGATCTCCATGGTAACTTATGCTGAGCGGCTAACCTCCTCGGGAGGAGGTTAGGTTGCAGGCTAAGAGATCAACTCAGTGAAAGCACCGCCTGCTGACCAATCAGAGCTCCGTGTGCGGAGTTTAAAGCGATCAATTCATATTACAGGATAGAGGAAATACAGAAAAACTGCTGTTGCAGGAAAGACTGCCGGCAAAAATCACCGACTGAACGTGAAAATTAATAGAATATCCCCTCCCATCTTCAGAGCAATCTGACTATTATAACAATAGTGTTAAGAAAGCTTACTTAAATATCTGCCACAACATAAGTAACCGGATCAAAGTAACATTATGTACAGTCCGCGGCACTGTGAGTGCAGACGTCGATGTGTCCCATTATCATTCATATCATATCACATCATAATGTATCATATATTTCCTTATCCGAGTCAGCTTCTTGAGCCGTATCTGGCCGTGCAACACTCACAGTGTCACATACTGTATGCAGAAGTATTATTTTAAGCAACACATTAAGTTGACGAAACACTCGAGTCAAATGTAATTAAAGTCAGATCCACTCGTGTCTTGGACGGGGCAGTGATATCATAAAAGTGTTAATGAACGTATTCAAACGCTTTTTCTTTTACCAGCTGTATTCACCTTGCAGGTGCAGCTATGTGGCTTTTATCCTGGATAAAGTGTTTAAGTCATGGATGTTTAAAGTTTAACGTCTTCATATTTGACTAATATTAAAGTTCACTTTTCATTCAGGAAGTATGACGCTGCGCTGTCAGTACGCTTGTCCATGTTTGTGATTGGTCGAATGCTCCAAATACCACCCCTTTCATGTGAACGCGCACCTAACTAGATAGGACACGGCTGGCTTGAGCGATCCACTTGATAACCAGCGTCGTAGTACAGCTTAGCGAGAGCGCGTATGTTTTGGATTAGGCCAACCGGCTAACTCAAACATATCCAGGTTAGGTTGAACCGGCTTCGTCGTACAGGCCTCAGATCAAGCGAACGAAAAAAAGAAAATAAATTGTATTTGCCTGCTACAGTGCTGTTGCTCAATACTGGAACAATCCCTTAGACACAAACTCATTGGAAAATAGGAGCTAGTTAAAGAATAACACAGGTTTCTTCTAATGATAGCAGTTTGTATTGGACAGCGCCATATATCTTATCAATATGCTCACTTTGTCCTACAACATGTCACTGATTGTCATTGACGTGTAGACAACAAGGATATTTATACTGGGAAAAAAATCGGAACACTTTTGACCGGATTTGGATGGACGGGTGTAACTTTATATTAAAAGAAATCCAGATAATAAGCTAAAATATACAATGTAAAAAACTACATTGTAACAGTATATCCAATTCAGAAAGATTTGAAAAATAAATGTAGAGTCACGACTGAGCTGTCCAGACAGTTGGAAAAAAAGTTAGGAAAATGTCACATAAAGGAAAAATAACACTCACCTTGAGGATTTTCACCACAACTTTTTCATTGTTGGTCACATTTATGGCCTCGAACACTTCACTGTACTTCCCTCGACCCAGTTTACGCACCAACTGATAGTTGTCTTGATTGCTGAGGAAGAGAGGAATATTTAGCTCAATTTAAACAAAAATATATCTTCATGAGCAAAAACAACTGTCTCCTTTTTAAGAAGACTAGTAAAAAAAACAATAAATTACTAACCTTTCAAAAATGTATAACTGAACACTGTCTGTTTTAAATGTTTGTTACTGAAAATCCTTAGGTTTGGACTCTTCACATTTGTAGATGTCACCTGGGTCTCTGGGAAATTATACCAGGCATTTTTTCAATATTTTCAGACAAAAGAAGTGTTATATATATATATTCAATAGAATTACAGCTTAACTGTAACTTTAAATATTTTAAACGAGTGACCTTAAAAGTAATGTTTAAAATCCAAAGTTGAGTTCTCAAATAAAAACAAAATGTTTGGTTGACAGAAACTCATGCAAATAAAATCACGATAATAACTTTGTCTCATATGAAAGACTGACTTGATTTTCTTAATTTACAGTAATAAAGTATATTCAAACATCATGCATTTGTATTTTATATACAGGTTTTTATATAAATATCTCATTTCTGTTTGTATAAGGAAATGCAGTAAAACAATGTACACTTTAAGGACTGTCTTCGACAGGCTGCTATCTTTTCAAAATCTATGAAATGCTAACACTGTCATAAAAATTGTCCCAGTAAAAGTATGTGTTGAAAACAAGGATATATATATATATATATATACAGAAGACATATTCTGCACACAATCACATTAGACAAGATTTCGATGGACGGCTGTAACTTTTTTACACAAAAGAAGCCACCCGCTGTGAGCAGAATGAAACAATATTTTGAAATGCAGCAATGGAAAAGAGCCAATAAATAGTAAAACACTGTAACTGTACCTCCAGTTTGGCACATGCGCGTCATAGTCCCAATACTCTCTGTTCTTCTGTGTGTTGACATCGGTGTACACCCGAGCCTTGCTGCTGGCCGGCGTGGATCCGGGCATAGCTAGCTTCGCGGCTCCGTGTCGAGGACCTTTACCTCCCTCTGAATGCTTCGTGGCTCGATACTGGAAGGCAGCGCAGCGACTCTCCAGAATTTGTGGCTCTAAGAAGGTCTCTGTGCTTTGCTTACCATCGGCTTTGGCTGCTTGCGCCCTCTGAGGAAAGGCGTCAGGCCGGTGTGATGCAGCGGTGGTGCAGACTGACAGAGCTACGATGACCGAGTGTGTGAAGCCCCTGAGCAAGATGTTAGGCAGGATGGGATGAAGAGCCGCCAGCTGCAGGAACAAACAGGGAGAAGAGAGAGAATAACCTGGAGGCATTAATAACAATAGGTCAAAGTTGCCTTCTGATTTGGAAATAAAGCAAATAATACTTCTTGTATGTAGGGCTGCAACAATTTTTTCTATGCATTTATTGTTTTACATGGATGGTTTGGACTGTAATACAGTTGTGAAGTCACACAGAGCAAAATATACTACCTATATCTGGCTGCTTTAAAAATGCTACTATTTATATTTTCTACCTTGAGATTGTACTTATTTGAGTACAACGGAGCCCCGTGCCCCGTGTTTTTTTAATATATATATATATATATATAGCATCAAATTGCAACTGAAGTAATCTATCTACGGTCACTTTTCACATTGAACATGTGCTCTTTTATTAAATAAACCAAAACGCTTTCATTTTAAGTCGTGAGTTTAGTGTTTTTGACCCTAAGAAACACTGATGCATTAATCAATAACAATAATCCACAGCTCCTCTCTCTGCTCCAGAGGATTTAAAAATATATATAACCCCCCCCCCCCCCAGGCAGCACCCCCCCAAAGCAGTAAACCTAGGGGAAACACAGAATGTTGTTCCCTTTGCTGTTACATTGTAAATGTACCTGCTTTGCGATGAATAAAGGATTTCTGATCCTGATCATCTGTCACAAAAACCAAAGATTTCAAATTAAAAAATAGGCACCGATTCAATTTTGATTATTGACAAATCAATTAACTTATCATTGCGGCTCTACAGTGTTATACTCCAAAGCTGTAAAAATGAGCATGAGAGTAACACTAATTGATGATTTAAAGATTGGGATTTGTTCAAATTAAAAAAGAAAGATTTCACTACCTTTTCTCAATGAAGACCACAGTAGAGTGAGTGTAGACCAAAAACGGCCGCCCTTTGACTTGTTAAACCTGGACTAGATTAACATGGAGACCCTACAGAGTGCTGCAAACCCAGAGCAGTATTTTTGGAACTGTCTGTCTTTTGCTTTTTTTTCTGATGAGGCCAAAATCAGACAAGGTCAACCTGAAAAACCACTGCACCTAAACAAGGAGACCTTGTACACAGAACAAACATCCACTTGGTGACACAATGTATTGTCAGGTTGTGTAACCCTCCAAGAACACAGCTTCCCCATGCTCACAGACTATTTTATCATAGTCCTCTTATAAGATAACAAATATAAATGGTAATGTCACTGCTTTTTCACAACCAATACCATCTTAACTTTAAATCTAAAACACTGTACTGAAATGTGTTGAACCTGTACTTGATACACTTGGGGATTCTTAACTCTTTATACACAGGTTCCAATTTAAGATAGTGACGCTTTTATTCTATTTTTTATTTAATGAAAAAGACATGGGCAATCTCCAACTAAAATATCTTTGAATTGACATAGCTCTCGACAAATGTATTTTGAGTTGGTCATAGATAGACAATGTTAACATTTAGAATCAAAAGAATCATAGGTGAATCCTTTATTTTATTTCCATTTGACTATCTTTGTGTATACACTAAGACCCTCTTCTTACACATAAATATGAACACCTAGTTTCAGAATGGGAACGGTTTATTATCAGAAGGAAAACCCCCAACAATGCCAGATCATTCGTAAATCTGGATGGATTAAAACAGAACCGTTAGATTTGTGATTAATCCTATTTTTAAAAAGAGAAAATCTATCGTTTTTTCTCATCAAACCTGGACAGGGTTAACAATTATATTCAATGAAACTGTCTAAATCTCCTTTTCATATAACATCAATGCATTTTCTCTATCCACATCACAACAACCCAGGGTTAGACAAAGTATAACTGCAACAGACAAACATAAATGCAATTCAGTTTCAAACCTCGGTTTAGGTTTGTCGAAGCTTTAAATACCTCAACGAAAAAGGTGTGATTTCACATCATTTTCTCGTTTGGATCACTTTAGACCAGGCCTAGCTTTATTGAAAACCAGGTATTTGAACTTGTAAAACCTAAACTAGATCAGCTTGGAGACCCTTTACTATAATGTGTTATGGTAAACCCATGTCTTATCTAGTTAGCACCTAACCCAGCCAACAGTTTAATGTAACTACCTTTAGTTAACGTTACATTAAACTGTGTGGACCCCGTCACGACACGGGCTCTCCGGGGCCTTTTTCACCGGCAAAACAGGTGAAATTTGCACTTAAATTAGAGATTACTTAACAAAAATAATGTTGGTTAGCGCCCAGTTATCCTAAAATGTAGACATATCTGTGAGGACTTACACCATATGCGATATTTCATCCTACGCTAACTAGCTAGTTACGGTGACCTAGGCTAGCTTACTTAGCAAAACATAAAATCAAAAAATGTAAACCTTGAACGAGAAATACACTATCATACAAACTGTAAGGGATTTTAAGGTCAAATAGACACGTATAAACTACAAACAGCTCATTAGTGTCGACATTTGATAAAATGTGAGATCAATAACGGGGGCTAAAGTTAGCCGGCTAACCTCGTCGTAGAAATATCCGAGCTCACAGGAAGTCCGCCCGACATGAACGTTAGCTCGTTAGCACCTCGTTAGCCGTGCGTTGCTCTCCGTGCAGCTGGTGCAGCAGGTCCAGGTTTGAGGACAGTGATAATATGTGTGTATATCAGCAGTTTCGGTGATATATTAATTTCCTCGGATGGGTGGTGGAGGTACATTTAGCAGCGGTTCGTTAGCAGAACCAGGATGCTCTTCCCTCTTGCGGTAAACATCACCCGGATGTGAATCAAAAGCTCAATGACCCGAAAATGCAACAAAAAAAAGAAGCAATTAAACATACCTTGGAAATAATAATAATACCAAAAAAAGAGAAACGATTTTTTGTAAGAATGTATTTAGATCAAGATGTATATTTAAAGATGTAGATGCTCCATTACTTTTTGAAAGAAAAAAAACATATATATAAATATAAGAGCAAACAACACAACACAAACAAGGTGTTAAAAATACTTTTAAAGCATATTAACACACATTAAAAAAATAGTATATATGTATTACATTTTAGATTAGGTGTTACTACTCATAATAGGATTAGTGAAACTGTACATAAATGCTAAATCAATTATCTGATCTTTTAATTTCTTTAAATTTAAAGGAATTCAATAATATAAATATATATATATATATATATATATATATATATATATATATATATATATATATATTAATTGAATCTTGTTTTATGCTCTGGTCATTTGTCAATCAATAATATATATATTATTGATTGACAAATGACCAGAGCATAAAACGTGATTATTGAAATCTTGAAATGTTAGGTTTTGGAGAATAGTTTAAGTTTTGGATGATCACATCTTTAACAAGAAGTTGTGATTAAATATTTGATAGTGCCTCTAAAAGGTGTTTTTCTTAGAAATAAAAAGAGGTGTCCATAAACAATCTAAGAGCTCGCTGATTATGAAATCAAATATTCTTTGTTGTTGTGATGACTGTTATCTGTCTGTTATCAACAGAAATTCAGCAAATGCTTCAATTGATCAGGATCTGAGCCATTGTCTGTACTCGCCAATACTTATTCTTAATATTTTATTACGATATCTACAATTAGCCTACATTCATTTATTCACCAAGGCAGCAGCAATCTAAATGGTTGATTAATATGTAACTATTTTGCTAATCAATCGTTTTCGAGGAAAATTAAATTCAAAGACATAATTTTACTATATTCTAAAAATGTTTTTGTCAGTAGATAGGGATTTTATGAGAAAATAATATTGCATATAAAGTGAAAATAATGTATACCTTATGATGAAAGTAGGCATCTCTAATTGAAATCATCATACATATACATGTTGTAGAATTGTCTGTGATGGAAAAAATGTACAACTTTTTTTTTTAATAAGGGTGGTTTATTTTTAATTGTCTGTATACAGTATGAACAGGAGTCTATATTGATATCCTTATGTGTAAATCCAACGCTTCATTAAACTTGTTCACCTCCCAACAGGAAGTTTTGAAGCAGACCCACCAGGACTTCAACCATGGCACAACCACACAGTCCCATCCCACCCCTCCCCGCTGTATTTCCCTTTCCCCTTGATTTGTAAACCTCAAAAACCTTCTATTAAATATACTGCAAAGCTTGTGAATATAAAAATCCACACAGTAAACCAAAGTACACAAATGTTTTACCTTATGCCCGACATAAACCAACACATGATTCGTAACTTTGAGGCTACTCGTATTTATCTGCTGAACGTCTGGGGCTAGGATCCCATGAGGATGTTCCAAGGCAAATTCTTAAAAAACTTAAAAAATAATATTACTTTTGTTAAATCTATCGCACAGTAACTAATGCAGCTAGTTTGTGGCAAGTGAGTTATAATATAATGCTTTAAAGTCTTGTCGGGTTAAATCTTCCGATAATCCATGTGGAATTGAAACTAAAATGTCTCGCAAGATACTGCAAGCTCATTCATAGTGAATACAAAAGCAGGTAACATAAGCACTATACAGTTTTCAATGTTTACATAAGCTTATACACACAATCTATAATATAACAGAGTAGACTATGCCATGAATCAGTAGTCATAAATATTACATTGTGCATATTCTATTGCACATGTCAAGTGTTTGTATGACATGAAAGGTATGGGTTAGTTACCTAGATGTCGTTTGTTTTAATACAAAGATGCAACAACACAGAGTTCATAGGACACGGGCTATACATTTTCACAAATCCACTTTTTTTCTTCTTCATAGGATGTTTTCCTAAATAAACCAAACCTATAATACAACAGTGATATTAAAGTGTGATAAATATTCATGCACAAACAGATGATACTACCTAAGATCTAATATGTGAAAAGATACTGCTGCACAAGCCAGCCGCTGTATACGGATGGGAGGGAATTATCGGCTAAACTGGACGTGACGTTACGAAAAAAAACACAGAATGAATCGGTACAAAAAGGCACATGGATCTCAGAGGAGCTTAGACAAGAGCACACACACACACACACACACACACACACACACACATCTGACAACTGTCTGGAAGGTCTTTCCATCATTCTCAACAACAGAATTAACAGTTACAAAACAGACGATCACATGCAACCACAGAATAATGTCCCGCACTAAACAAAACCCAGATCTTACCATATTGTTACACCTTTTTGATTCGTTTTTTTCCATGTGTTCCAAAATAAGACGGTTATTGACGATGATTAAACAACAAAGAATGAGGATGAATTCAGTCATGACTCAACAAAAACATTAAACTAATTAATGGTTCTTTGTTATACACTACAAATGGGGGAGCGGAGGCTGGCATAAGTTCCTTCGAGGGTGAATGTCATGTTTGCTCCCCAGGACTGAAGAGCAGTTCAGTTCATGGGATGCATTGTGCTTCAGGGAAACTCTCCCCCTCAGCAGTGTGCTGGACTGTGTGCTCCTGCAGTGCTGTGAGGTCAACAAAACGCTCCCCGCACCACACACACTTAAACTGTGTCTCCCGCGAGTGCACGCTCTGGTGCTTGGCCAGGTGCTCGCGTTGCTTGAAGCTCTTGTCACAGCTGGCGCATTTGAAAGGCTTCTCCCCTGTGTGAACTCGGCGGTGGCGCTGCAGCTCGGAAGAGTACCTGAAACGTTTTTCACAGTCGGGACATTTCAGTGGCTTCTCGCGGGTCGGGTCGCAGCGGTGCTGAACAAACTCGGAGGAAGACACAAAGCGCTTGTCGCACAGGGAGCATTTCAGCGGCTTCTCTGTGCAGTGAGAGTTCTGGTGGCGCTGCAGCGTTGAATTCTTTTTGTAACCTTTGCCACACACCTCGCACTTGTAGGGCTTCTCGACCTCCCCGCCACATTTGTGCCTTAGCAGTTCTCCTGATTGGCTGAAAGACTTCTGGCAGGACGCACACTTGAACAGACTTTCCATGCCGTGAACCTGCTGGTGGTAAAGCAGGTGGGATGGCTGGAGGAACCCCTTGTCACAGAGGTTACACTTGAAGGGGCGATCAGCTGGATTTTTGTGTGTGCGTCGGTGGCGTACGAGAGCGTACTGCTGTTTGAAGCTCATCTGGCACTCCTCGCACTGGAAAGGTCGCTCCTCTGAGTGCGTGCGTTCATGCTGCCGCAGATCAGATGGGCGTTTGAAGCTCTTTCCACAAGAACCACAGCGGAAAGGTCTCTCCCCTTCCGGCTGGCACTGATGGTGCAGGAGCTCCGATGACTCCTTAAAGTGCATTTCACACAAATTGCACTTGAAGAGGTGCTCGCCTGAATGAGCGTACATGTGCCGCACGAGATGAGAGCGGTGCTTAAAGCTCTTCTCGCACACGGCACATTTGTACGGCCGCTCGGAGCTGTGTGTCCGCTGGTGGTGCGCCAGATGTGAAGACTGGCTGAAACTTTTATCACAAGTGTCACATTTATATGGCTTTTCACCGGTGTGCACTCTCTCGTGGCGGGTTAGCTCTGACAAATGCCTGAAGGACTTATGGCACACTGAGCACTTGTATGGTCGGTCTGGTGCAGAGGCCTCAAAGGAAGGAGGAGACGAGGCACTGATTGCTGCACCGTCACTGGACGTCTCACCAGTGGAGGGCTGCTGGGGGTTGGCAGCTGACAAGGTTGGCGAGTTATTTCCAGAACCTGGCCGGTATGTTTTCTCACAGATGGAGCACTTCATTGGGTTGTTTCCATTGCCATGCGAGTTGTGATGCTGGGCCAGCGAGGTGAGCAGAGAGAAGCCCATCTTGCACACACCGCACACAAAAGGCTTCTGCTCCACCTGCACACACTGATGCTCCAGCAAGTCCGTAGCCTGGCTAAAGATCTTCATACACTGGGTACACTGGAAGGATCGGTCTTGGTTCACCATGCACTGGTGCTCATGAGGGTTGGCCAGGTGAGAGATGTCATGGCCACAGGCTCCACACTTGTGCCCTCTCTCGCCCCCTACCTGTAAGGAGGGCTGCTGGGCTTGAACAATAAGCTGCTGGCCGTGCTGGGGTTGTTGCATGGAGGCATCTTGCTGCAGGACCACTCCATACACTGTGCAGCCCAGAGAGTTTTCAGTTCCCGGGGGGAGTGTGTGCACAACCGAAGGTGGAGCCACTGCATGTTGCTGCTGCCACGCCTCCGTCATCCTTCAAATTCGCAGCTCTCTGGAGATGAAGGGGGTTTCAGTGCTGAACTGAAGAGGGTGGATGTGTTTTAATAAATGGTAGCCAGCACACTGAGAGGCTGAGTGCTATATCTGCCCTTAAAAACGTCGTTTAAGGTGTTAATACCTAAAGGGGAAAAAAAACAAATTACTAAGTTGAATTTTCTGAGTATGAAATGCAGGGCTGATAAGCTGCCAGTTTACATTACAATTATATATTATAAATAGCAATGTAAAATAAAACAACACTCATTCATAACGTGTGTTTACATTTCATCCAGAGGAGGTCCTCTAGCCAGTTTCACAATATTGTGAGTGGCTGATCAAGTCTTGTAGAATACAATTGAAAGAAACCACCTAAGCTAGCTTGAGGGGCCTGCAACTTATCCTCCAGTTATTCAGGAAATATATCGTTAAGTGATATGTACACATTTGTATCAGTAAGACAGACCGTATGGTGTCGTTTAGAGAGCTGACGCACTTTCTATAAACGGAAATAAGAGAATAACGTTTAACCTGAATTGGGCTCGGTCTATTTCCTGAAATACCAATCAGGCACGCAATAGTCCCCTTTTTCAGTGTAATGTGTATTGAAAACGT